TAACGTTTATATATGTAATATTTTTATGATTTTTACTTTACTTTAAGCCTTTTTGTTCTACGGTATATCAAAATTCATGGTTTGGCAAAGTAAGGTTTGCTAATATTGTAGCTTTATTTTATAAGAGCGAGCATTTTTTAAAGATTTTAAAGAGTTCTTAATGTAATTCTTTTTTAGTTATAACAAGTACTATTTGGAAAAGGTATACAGCTGAAATAAATACTAAATAAATAAACTCTTAAATTTTTATCAGATGTGGATATGAAGATATTCTAAATTAAATTTCATTTTTTGACAATATATTTACAATTAAATAAAAGCTACCAACATTTTTTATGTATGATTATGTAAAATTAGTTACTCTTATATTACTTGTACCTTTTTTTTTAAATACACTAAGACTTCTTAAATAACCAGACTACATAATATCAAAAAAGCAGATAACCTCGCAAAACAGACAGACCCTCCTGATTCTCCCTCTATTCTGAGAAATGTTAAACTGCTAATAAAACAAGAAATTCGAAGTCACTGAGTATTTTTTTACCGAGAGAGTTTGATGTTTCTTGTCAGAACCTCTGAACATCAAGTGTTCTCTAGAACCTCCCTAGGCCTATCGGAGTTTCGCATTTCAGGCTGCTGACTGGGCAGGACATTCTAAAGGCACATTTACTTAATATTAGATCTTCTGACTCTGTTGACTGCATTTTGTGTTAGGAACTTGTTATGAATGGATTGTTCTATCCTCAAAGAGGCCTGCTCCTCATATTTTAGGATGCCCCCTACCCCTGGAGATACCTCTTTTTCATATTGGACTGTAAGACTTATTATGCTTATTTATGTTAGAACAATTATGAGGAATTATTAAAAAAAAATTATTTTAGCAAAAAACTTTACACTAAATTTCGAACACTTTTTTAGGTAACAGTTGAACATCAATTTTTGTAATTATATTTTATTTCATGACTTTAGTCACATGCTTTCAATTAATTGTTAAATCAGGTTATTTTTTTGCATCATTTTTTTATTTACAGGGTTATAAATGTTAATTTTATAAGATGCATGCACTTGTGCGTTGTTTTTTAATTTCATTAACATTTCTGGGTTAAATCCTTATAAAATGAAGATTATTTGAATGCAATAAATTATATAAATCTTTCAAAAAGTTATCTGTCAATTTAACAAGTTTTTTTTATCTCACATTTTTAAATCTATTTTCAATTGAGTATAATGCTACAAGATCTCTATTAAAACTATTCTGTAAATTTCTGCATGTATATCCATCTCCTCGCTTGGTCTGTTTGCAAAATGTTTTCCTGTCTTGTAGCTTTCATACCTGTTAAGATTTATGATTGTATGTTATTTTCTAATCAACTTTCCGTCTTAAATATTAGCCATGTAACTAATTTGTTTATAGTTTTCAAAAGTTTTACTTTCAAAAATTATCTAAATCACTTTGATACTGCCATCTGTGATTTTAAGTATGCTGTTATCTATTGAAACTTCAAAAGATCACTTCAATTTTATTTAAAAATCGATATTAAACAAAAAACTGAATGTGAAATAAAGTTGTTTTAATTATAAAATAAATCTGACAAATCTCTTTCATGAAGTTAGTAATCTGAGGTTTATGAATAATTACTATGACTTTATAAATATGGAAGATCTAAATGAAGTCAAAGCACATAACAGTAAAATCTTTATAGATGACTCACAAGTACAGCTCCTCATAACAACCCATGTAGATTGCCATGGAGTGAATTTAATTGTTAACAAAAGTTTATTTGTGAAGAGAGGTGGATTAAAAATAAAATAATTCTAAATGTATGAAAAACAAGTAAATTAAGACATTTTCATTTATCAGGCTATGGAAACTTGCTTATTAATGATTTTTATGAAAGTTAAATTTATAATTGTAATTTAATGAAAATTATAAAAAAAAAACAGGCATGTTTGCTTTGCACATGCCGTAATTTTTATATTTTTTTGTAAAACATATTTATTCAGTTATTTTTTGTTCGGTTTGAGCATTCTTTGCAAAAAACTGTTGTAACTAATTACAAGCCTAGCTTAAATTCTATATATATTAAGAAAGAAATAAACTAAAAACTACTATACTCAGTGGCACGACAGCCCATAAAGGGCCAGGGCCTACTGTGCCCATCTCAGTTTTCCTGACCTTGGGCTCTGGGGTGCAGGAGCAGATGTTTCGGTCAGGTGGTCAGCCGAACGCGGAACCCCCAGTGTTTAGTTCCCAAGCATGCTTGGTACTCATTTATCGACCCACTGAAGGGATGAAAGGCTGTGCCAACCTTGCCCGGCCCAAGGATCGAACCCAGGACCTGTGGCACGGGAGGGCAAAGCGCTACCACTCAACCACCAGGCGTCATTAAAAAAGAAATATTTTGTGATAATCTGAATTGTATTAGACATTATTGGACTGAATTGTATTAGACATGAAAGTTGGAAAATTGCAACGAAATATAATTCAATAAAAAATAATATCTTAAAAATAACCTTAATTATTTTGGTAATGGATGTAGTAGTATTTAAAGTTACAAAGCAATATAAGCGTATATATTTATAAATCAATAAAAAATTTATTATTATTTTTATTCATTCCCCGAAATTAGAACCTGTTCAAATGATATATTAACATGCTTTTGAAAATTTTGCATCTCCTTCACCTCCTGTCAGAAGAAGTTAAAAATCACTACCCCCTTATGCTTTTATATAATATTTAATCGACCTGTTTGAACCTACCTATACTTTTGTTCTAAAAATTAATTTAAAACTGAGGCATTTTTTCTTTGCTTTTTTATTTTTAAAAAAAATGTCTTTGTTAATGTTTCACAATGTGTCTTTCAAATGAATACATTATAAGATCTGTCTTGTCCCCAGAAAGAAGTTTCAAACTATTACTCATACAGATACAAATACTCACTTTAGTTTATATGTACAAAATAATGCTTAAATTTTAAAAACATTAATGCATTTTTTTCAATGTTCCTCTTATATTGTTTAGAAGAAAAAAAAATCATAAAGTAAATAAATAAAAACATTAATGTATTTGTTTTCAGTGTTCCTCTTATATAAGTATGTATTTTGTTTGAAAAAGAAATATCTGTCATAATGTGCATGGTATATTGCATTGAAAATAAACAAATAAACCAATCACCTAATGTCTGTGTTATTAGAATACATTAATTAGCATTCTTAATATTTTAGAAATGTAATACTTTTGGTACTTATCAACTACCCACTTTTTTTATTTTCTGGAGTTTAACTTTTTATAACATTATTGCTAACCCAAAAAGCATACTGGACATGGTGAAACATCTTTTATGATTCAGATGGTTAGTTTGTTGCATAATTTAAAAACATTATTTATTTCGAAAGAAAGCACATGTTCAACTAATGGAATAATCTTTGTAATATTTGTGGATTGTAAGTGTTTCTTTCCTCATAGTCTAGCATTATTTTTCAATGATGGATTGTAACTTTCAATTTTGAAGGCTGTATTACAATTATATTAAATTAGAGTATTAATTAATTTATTTCTTCTTCCCAGAAGTGTCATGTCAAAGCCTAGAGAATTTGCACATCTTATAAAAAATAAGTTTGGCAGTGCAGATAATATAAACACAGTGCATCAGAGTAAGTAAAAGTAATTTTTTCTTCGTATTACATAACATAATTACAACATATTGTCTGCACATTGCTTTGTACAGATACTAAATACAGTTGTTATACTTTACAGTTTAACTATGCTTAGTTGTTTTTTCATTCGTAAGGGTAATTTAACAGTGAGTGCCGGTATCAGCATCTCAGTTGATTGCATTCTCTTCACAAACACTCTCCGACAAGAGTGCTGTCAGAAATATTTGCAGGGAGGTGCAATCGGGAAAAGTATTAAATCATCGAAAGCAAATTATAATTTTTTGGTTATTCAATTTTCTGGGGTTGCAAGTGTTATTAATGTCCCGTTTTGGACACCCATGCTCTCAGCTAGATTTAAGACTTGTCTTTGTTTTGCACTAGCACAATGAACATAATATTCAGTCCCTGCTGAAGTTATTAGACGCACTATAAGATTCTATGTAAAATCTTAATTTTCAGGTGATACTATACAGCTTTATTGTTTTTACGCAACTGAAACAGGTTTGTACCTGTTTACGTTTGTGTATCAATTGGTTAACTTTGTAATGCAATACTTAAAAAATAAATTCAAATAGGAAGTATATAAAAAATCACCTGTATAAAAACCCATTACATGTATGTTTAAATATAAAAGTATTGCATATAAACTTGTGCAAAACATGTAATTATTAAAAAACTACAGCGAGTCTGCTAATTCAGTCTAATTATTATAATAATGTAATACCTGATATAAAAAATATTCTATATTTACACAATATATCATCTAAGTTATTCAATCGCCGAATTTATATTATATATTGTTTAATTGAACCAATTGATACACGAACGTAATTAAATGCAGTTTGCAAGTGCACCGGTTTCAGTAGCATAAAAACAATAAAGCTGTATAGTATCAACTGATAATTAAGATTTCACATAGAATCTTATAGTGCTTCTAATAATCTGTCCAGGGACTATATCGGGGCTCACTGTGAACCCAATTTAATTTAATCTTTTTCCTTCAAAGCTTGAAATTTTTGCTTAGATGCCTCTTATGTTAATTGTTTATTTGCAAAAAATTGTTGTTATACATTTTGAGTCATAATCAATTTAGAATTAACCTTTTCTTTTTCTTCATTGCATCTGAAACTCTTCAAGGCAAAATATGTTGGAAAAGTGTTGAACTTTCCCCTATACTTCTGTCTCAACTATTTGTTCCATAATTTCTAAATTGCTGCTATCCTCTATATTTTACTATTCCCCCATATTTTGAGGTCTAAGAATCAAAAGCTATAAAAACTGTATGGTTACTCAAGGGAAGTACATATTTTGTGTTTGATTTTTTTAACTTAAAATATAGTCTACACTAATTAATTAGCATGTTTTAGGTTAGGCTCTAAAACCATTGAGATTGAGACTTATTATGTCATGATTGTCAGTCTTAGTATCTCAAGAAATAGCTAAATTGTTTTCTCTCTCTATCTTTTATTTTTCGTGTTTTTGTGTTTATTGTACATACTTGAAGTTGTAGGGATATAACTTATAATAATATAATAATTGATAACTTCTATGCTATTGTTTGGTGTTAATTGAAGTGTTGCAAATAATTTTTTTCTTCATGCATACATTTCGTAATTAAATATTTATGTTTACTAATTCATATCTATGAAATATTTTTTTTTAGATATGAAAAAAAACTTCTTTATTCTACTTTAGTGGCAGAATAGTCACTTATTAAACTTTCTATTTGATTTCATTTAAGTTTTTATCACTATATTTGGATATTTTCATTTGCAGCATAATATTTTTTATTGATATTTTGTAGTTAGTTTTAAAGGTTAAATATATGTATAGTAAACTTTTTTTTCTTCCATCCACTTCATTAACCATTGTCTGGATTCACTAATTGCCAAAATCTACTCTGTGTTTTAACTTAAATTTGTCAATAAAATTTAAAATAATCAAATACTTGATATTTGCTTTTAAATTATAGTTCGCAATTGGTATTAATTCTTATAATAAAGTTGATAAATATACTAAAAAATGTCTTTAAATTTTTAGAATCTGATGAATGTCCAGATGATCGAGAAATAAATATCCACAGCAGTGCTCTTTCTACTCACAGGTAATTTTATTTATAGCAAACCCTAGACTTGTCTTTGTTGTGCATTTGTCTTCATCTAAATCTTGGTTCATTTTCCAGCACCAGGTATACATCTGATGAAGAAAATTCTAGTGTAACTTCAGAATCAGGTCAAAATCAAAATGCCAAAGACGGAGAGGTTCATCAAGTTCATTCCACTGTTCCCAGTCCCCATCATCATCCACATCACCAACCTCAACCCCACCCCCCATTACAAAACATGCCTTCTGGTTCGGAATCACTCACTATACAGTCTGTCGGACATGCATCATTAGATTTGGAACCAATTCTTCATGAATTGCGCTCTCAGCGAGATGAATATCAACATCTTGTGGAGGAAATAGAATCCGTGAAAGTAATAATCTAGATTTTTTTCTAGTTAATCTGTGGTTGTAATAAGTAATCAAGTTAATCTATGAAAATAATGATGTGGCATTATTCTCGAGAATCTATGAAAGTAATAATAATTTTTTTGAAGTCAATCAATGAAAATAATGATCATATTTTCCAACTATGAATCCATGAAAGCAATAATCAGGTTTTATGTGATTCTGCTTATGCTCATGTGAAATAAGCCAAAAATCATGAATTGTGTGATCAGTAACTTTGATTTCAAATGTAACTTTTTCTCTTATTTTGCATCTTCTCTTTATCTATCTTATTTTTTTCTTTCTATTTTCCTTATATTGTATTTTCTTTATTTTATATTTTGTATTCACATGTCTGCAAATAGAAATTTATTTTTATTTTTGAATAGGGTCAAATTCAGCAAGAGTCTACTTATTTTTCTCAAGCTTTGCAGGAAGAACGCTATCGATATGAGGTTAGTTACACTTTTTTTAATAATCTCTCTTTGATTTTGTATTCAATGTAATATTGCTAGTATCAGATGTATTTGTTTTTAATGTTGCATTCTCAATGTGTTTCAGCGTTTGGAGGAGCAAATGAACGATTTGATAGAGTTGCATCAAAATGAAATTGAAAATTTAAAACAGGGAATTGCTGATATGGAGGAAAAAGTGCAATATCAAAGTGAAGAAAGGTTGAGAGATGTACATGATCTCCTGGATAACTGCCAGACTCGTGTAAATATTTCTAATTTCAAACTCCTTAGTTCCCGTAGATCTTTGTACATTCTTTTGCTCTCTTAACTCTATATTTAAACTTTTCAAATGACTTTATTGACAAGTTTTAGGTATAAGTGAAAGCTATTTATTTTTGATGTTTTCCCCATGAATTATCTGAAATAACAGGGTTGCCACTCCACTGGGAGAACCTGGAAAATACAGGGAATTTAAAAATCACCTAAAATAACAGGGAATTTTGAATTTTTTCTTTACAAACAGGGGAAATACAGGGAATTTGTTTTTTTATTTTTGTCTTTTAAAAATTGGTGACCACTCAAAGTGTAATCTGTAGGATATTTAACCATGATATTTCAGCTACACTCAATTATTTCATTTACTGTAACATTATGTTCAGCTGTTTTTCCAGCAATTAAAACTAATAAATATTGTTAGCCCAATATATCTCACACAAGAGCACAGTAATTGTTGTTTCCTCTTAATATATTGTGTATAGTATGTACAGGGAAAACACAGGGAATTTTTTTTCCAGATTTGAGTGGCAACCCTGAATAATGTAGAGTGAATATGGGAGTGAACTCTTTCTTTTGAAAGATAATTACAATATTATAAAATATGGAAAATTAACTATATTAATGAGAACTATTTTTAGAAATTCTGATTCTGTGTTTTTTTTTTTTTTTTTGATAAATAAAGCTATGCTCAATATGAGTCTTAATGAAAACGCTATTGTATATCTTAAATGAGTTACCATTCAAGTTTGAAAGATACCATTCAAAATTATAACCAGTAATAATTTTACATATATTTTTAACACTTCTAAAAGTAGTGAAAGAGTTTCATTAAATCATACCAGGAATGTTTCTAACGACCATAAGCCTAAAGAAGTAAAGGAAGAAAAACTTGAAAAAGAGGAAAAGAAAAAAAGATTATCTTGATTTGCAGACTTCTTAAAATAATCATAAGTTAAATGATTTAAAAGAATTGAAACCTAGCTGTAGACCTTGCAAAAGAGGGAGCAGAAAGACTGAAAAAAGCTACAGCTGCAGTAGCTCAAAATATTTTGAAAATCTGAAGGAACTGATCAGTTGCAAAAATTAGAATGGGAATTGACTGTCTTCAAAACTAGGAAAGGACAAGTTTTGAAAAAAGAGATTCAAATTTAAATAACCCTCCTAATTTTTACTGTATCTTTAGATGTGAATTGCTTATTTAAAAACAAATTATTACAATCTATTATATGAATAATCTTAAATTTGAATGCTGCTTGATTAATATGCTATGCAGAATATGTATTTTCAGTTTTGGTAGTCGGTTAAATGAAAACCTATAGTATAACCTGTTTTTAGCCTAACAAATTCTTAAATTACTGCAAAACGTTTTGGAAAAATCTTCCTAAAACTTCCCTAAAATTTAAAAAAACTCTATCATTACATCTGGAGATATTTCTTTTCCCTAAAATTTGGACAAATTCAGCTGAATAGTTTCTTTCACATTGAACCAGCTATTGCCCTAACTGTTTTAAGTGTTTTTACCAAAACAAACTTATTTAAATTTTACTTTATTCTTTTTTTTTCTTCTTAATTTTATAAATGTTATTCATTACTAATGCTTAGCTTTAAATGTTATTAGATTCTATCTTCATTAACAAAAAACCCCTTAATTTTGTCTTTAAAAATGTACATTTAGTATAGATATGAAATCTTTTTTTATTTTGAATTACTGGCAGTTGCTATTTTTTTAGTGCTTCATTTAAATGAAATAAAATATTGAAATTTCTAAGAAGGAATTCAACCAGTAGTGCTCAACCTGTGTTGCCCACGGGAGCTTCTGAACAAAGTTTTTTTTAAGAAATACTTTTACTTTTTGATTCTCACAACTCTTTTTTTTTCTGCACTGAAAAATAACAATTTCTAAGCGGTTTGAAAATTCCTGATACATTTATTACGATATTACAACTCGTGAGTTACAAATATAGCATTTTATTCATCACTCTTTGACGAGCTTTATTTGTACCGCTTTCTCTTAAATTTAAAAAATTTTAATGATTTTTTTAAAAAGGCGTTTATTGTTTTTCTTGGTGCTTGGCTTTTTTTTCTTAAATGCGCTTTTCCATGTGATTTCGAAAATTCCATACTTTTACTACATTTGTAAAACATGCAAGTTTTGAATCGCGCATTTAAATAATAACTTTTTAAAGTGTTTTGCTTTTGCCGATTTCATCGTAAATTAAAGTTATTTTTCTATCATTTTTTTTTTTGGCATTTTTTATGATGCATTCCCATGAACTTTAAAAATTCCAACTATTACGAAAAGCGAATTTTAAATCACGTATTTTAAATAATTACTCTTTGACACGATATATTCATGATGATTTCACTGTAAATTGAAGTAATTTTTTCTCAATTATTACGATGCTTTTCCACTTGATTTTGATGATCCCGTTATTTTAACTATAATGTTATTATGGCATAGGAGTTTCTAATCACTCTTTCAAGTAATCACTTTTTGATAAATATATTTGTGCATATTTCACAGTAAATATAAGTTATTTTTCCGATGCTTTTTCGGTAATTAGTGTCATGTATTAGTATGTGATATTTGGAATTTCTATATTTTAATATTTTCTTACATTATTGCAACATAAAAAATTTGAAAAGTTGAGAAAATCACGAATTTTTAAATTCCTTACTTTTTGTAATTTTGTTTTAAATCTTTAGTGGCTTTTGTGTTTTTTTTTAAAGAAAAGAATGGAAGGAAGACGTTTTATATTTTAAATTCTTGAAACCTCTAATAATTCAAGAAATAGAAATAATATCTAAAGTGTAATACGAAATAAATAAATCTTATTTTGTTCTATAATAAGTATTTGTTTAATATTAGTTTAATATTAGTATAATATTAGTTTTAATTCTTGGTTTTACTTTAAGCCCTAAAAATTTTCTTTCATTAAAATAATTAATAATACTCATGAAATATGTATTTTTTTTTTTTTTACACTTTCATTCTGTGAGTCTGACATTTTTTTTTTTTTTGATGGAATTTATATTTTCCCCCATATCAAAAAATCTATTCTTAAGAAAAAGGGATAAAATTTAAAAAAAAAATATTTTATGCTTAAAACACTAATGTTTGCATAAAAATTATCAGATTTCCCACCAAAATGACAAAATATGACTGCAGCCTATCGTTAATCAACCTGCTTTGCAATTGGCTCTTTACTCAAAAGGGTTGTGCATCCGTAAATTAGACCATGCCATACGTTGCAGAAATCAGTTTTAGTTGCAGTTTTATTATCTCTTTTTTTTCTGTAGATATCTCGTATGGAACATCAACAGCATCAGCATCTTCAACAGTTGGTGTCATTAGATGCTGTCGAAAACTCCCAAGCGCGAGCACTCTTACTCAAGCTAATCAATGTTGCACTAACTATGCTTCAAGTAGTTCTGCTATTGGTCGCAACTCTATCAAATATAATGATGCCTTTCTTAAGAACTAGGTAAGTGTTTAAATGTGTATCAATATTGACCTCCCACGCGGGAGAACTTTCACTCAAGCTAATCAATGTTGCTCTATGCTTCAAATGGTCACAACTCTTTCAAATATAATAATGCCTTAGAACTAAGTAAGTTACTATGTATGCACCAATATTAAAAACTCATACAGTTTAGCTACTGAATGGCAATGGATGATACGTAGAAAAAAACAAGAAATGTTTAGAATGTGCAATTTAAGCTTTTATTCTTTTTAATTAAATTTTCAAGATCTCTTTGATTAAGATATGAAGCTAAAGATATTAGTGTATAAGTTTGATTCAATTATTGGCAAGGTTAGGAACATAGTTAAAAATGCATGGATAGCACTGCCTCTAGCTTTTGAAAATAAAACTAAATATTTTATTTCTACTTCTTTTGTTTATTACAATGTTTCCAATTTACAAAATGTTTCATAACCATGAAATTTTGCAAACTTTTTACAATTCTAGTTCTAATTTTCTAATTATTTTACTCACTACAATGGAGTCCTGATTATTTGTAATACAGATTATTCATGAGTTCGACGAAGGGTTAAAAAATTATATTGCACATGATTGACCTCTACATCCCAAGGGCATTGTACTATTGTATATGTACTATATTTTTCTTTACCATTCATTGTTTCAGCGATTTAGTTATAGAACAAAAATTTCTGTTGTGTGTTTTAAACATATACACATATATAAATACATTTTCAAATTATTTTTTGGGTCACTACCTTACTTTTTGAGTTTTTTGAATTATCCGTGATTTCTGTTATCTGCAATGCCCTTGCCACCAAATTCCACAGATAATTGAGGCTCTAACGTATAGCATGTTGACAGTTTTGTATGTAAAAAGGCAAACTGAGTTTTTGAAAGAAACAAATTATAAAATAAAAATTGGAAAATAGTTTTTAGTTTACAAGGTTTTTTGGATATCAGAAGTGTGAATAATGATGTTTTTTTTTTATCAAATGAAAGAAAATTGAAATTAATATTAAACATTTATACCAAGATATTAAATACTTTTCAATTTAAAAGCAGTTAAAAATGCATTTTTTTTTCTTCTCTTGATTAAACTTTAACCCACTGTTGGTTTAGAAAATGGGCAAAATTGAGAGAATGTTTTTTCCCTATACACTTTTCCTCAATGTATTAACATGGAAAAACCAGTTTTGCTATGCAAAGAAGACTGCAGATTAAAATACGACTTTTTACATGCAGAACTGTCAGTGGGTTAAATTGCTCTATAAAGGGGGGGGGGAAGCTAAAATCCTTTAGGAATATTTCATAACTGTAGTTGTAAATATAATATTAAAAAAAAAAAAAAAAAAATCAATAAAATTTTTTTATCTAAAATGCTTGGCTAAAAGGAATGTAAGTTAATTGTATCTTTAATTTATCTCATTTTTATGTGTAACTAAATATTTGCTGTAGTATTAAGCACTAATATCTTTATTTTTAATGGTACTGATATTCATTGTTACCTTTTCTAGGGTTCGAACACTGACAACATTGTTACTCATCTTTATAATTATTATATTGTGTCATCAATATCCAGAATTGATTGAACTGTGTCACTCAAAAGCTTCTAAAATCTTACCTTCTATAACGAAGTAGATTCACACAATATATTTATAATTTTTAAACAAAACGATTGCTAACCATTAATGGTTTTTAGTGAGAATGTGAATAAGTACGATAATTGTATTTTGTAGTAAGTATTTGTTTTTATGTATAAAGTGTAAAAAAATAGAAAAAGAAAAATGAAAGCTGAGTGTGATCTTAACTGTTAACAATTTCTGCTTTTTAAGTATTTTTCTTCTTGTTTTTTAAAATATATTCTATTTATTTTCTTTCATTTGTTGATTTCTTATCTGTTTTACTCGATAAGCTTCCATATGGTTATAAAGTGCTAGATATTTATTTCATTGTTAGTATTAGTTAAAATGTTAAGTGTGTTTGATTGTTATGAGTGTAAGAAATATCATTATTTCAATAATTATTGAATTAGTTTCTGAGTAAAACTTTTATTTTTGTGATATGCTTGTATTTGGTATGTCGTTATTAAGTACCATATGTGCCATTTGAATTGGAATTATAAAGCTCTTTTATTGTAATAGCTTTATAAGTATTATATTATTAACGAATGTTTTTTTAATTGTTATTACTCTTCAACTGTGAATAAGTATTTCATATTTGTTTGGGAATTTTATGAAAGGACCAAGTAAATCTTAAGTTTTCAGAGCATATGTTAGCAAGAAATTGTTTAAGGATATAAAGCTGTTGTAAGTGTAGAGCAAACAGAGCTCAGCACTTCACTTTTCTAGGACTCTAAAGGAACCTGAGCCAGTGATTTTTCAAGTAAATACTTATTCTTAAAATAATAAAAAAATTTTTTAAACACTTTTGTTACTAAAAATTCAAAAACTTTGCTTTCTACTTCAATCGTGTGGAAAAGTTTTAGTGAAATGATGAAAGATGTCGGCTCCACATTTTTACTAATGGAAATCAAAATCATAGAATTTAGAAAACAAGGTATGTTTAAACATTTTTTGATAATTCCTGATTTTGAAATCGTAAATAAAAAATTTCTCTCATTAAAGGCCCAGTTCTGGATTAAGTAAAACTTTACTAATTTGAAAATAATATAAAGATAATCAATTAATCACTTTCAATAAGTTTTGCAAAAATCTATGAAGATCTTTTTTAATCTATTTTTTAATTGTCCCGTATATAACATTTAAAAAATTCTTAATTTTGGCCAGGACCACGTGTAATCTACCAATGACTCAGTTAGGAAGAAAATATTCCTTTCCTCAAATATTCAGTTTCTTCCATTTTTCTTTACATGTCTGAAATTGTTAATTGCAGGACTGATATTTGGATATGATTCTGTTACATAACAAAGTACATAAACATAGGTGATATTCCACTAGCTAAAGAAAAACTGTATAGCACTTCACATGACTTTCTATGAATGATTTTAATTTTTTCATAAAAGTTTTAAAACTTTATGTTAAATAAATTCTATTTCTTTGATAACTTGTCTTTTAAAGTTATTTGAGAAAAAAAGTGTTTTTATTAAATTTTTAGAATTATTTACACTAAAATCTGTCCAATTCTTTTAACTGACTCCTTCTGCAAATTTTAAAACTATTCAAAGCATGTGTGTTTAAAAATTTTAATAAATAAGCAGTTAATTCTGAATGTCATGTTTCAAGAAATGTTTTAACTTCTTTGAGACATTTTTTATTTAAAAAGTTAGCTTGTTTTTTATGTCTGTAAAATCTAGTTTATTTCAGGAAATGCTTTTTTGATTTCCAAAAAGTATTATGAACTTTAGATTAGCATATAAAATTTATTTCTTTTGTAGTTTACTATTTAAGTTATGTTTTTAAAATATCTAAAACAAGTTTTTTTTTTCATTCAAAAATGTATTTAGAAATTTACTCTGAATCAAACCAATGCTTTTTAATTACTTATTTCCACAAACTCTTTATAAGCATGCTATTTGGGTATTGTTTTAAAATTTTGAAAAAAAGGGAACTGAAACTAATGTCATGAATTGATGAAATTTCACAACTACTTTGCAAAGTTTATTTTATTTTTATTTACTGAATATTACTGTATGGAAAATATTTATTTAATAGCTTTTGTGCAAACCTATTAAAACATTTAAAGTAATAAAAATTAATTAGACATATGAATGTAGTTTTAAGATTCACCATACAAATACATTTATTATATATTAAGTCTTCTTTTCGAATCTTTAATTCTTACTATTTACATAAATTTTATTTTATAATTAAATATCTTTTATTTTCTTACAAGTAAATAAAATATTATTTTAAATAACTCCTTGGATTTTATATTTATCAGATCAATGTGGGTTCCATAGTGCCCTCGTAACCTTTTAACTTTTTTGTTTCTTATTTTGAGTTTGTGATGTTGTAAGTTTTATACCTTGTGCTAGCTACATCAAGCTCTTGTGTCATTAAGCTCTATGTTTAATCCAATCAATTTGTAATGGTCTTTTACATCTGCATGTAGTAAAATTATTTCCACTATTTTTCTATGTATATATATATATAGATATATTTAAAGCTGTATCTGCAATAATGTAGAAATTTCATCCCCCCCCCCTTTAAATTTGTATTTTATATTTTTCATTTAAAATTAACTTGTTCCAAGTCCTTATTTAAAGTTTATTCTTTAATATTTTAAATGTTATGATGTTCAAAACATTTCTTAAAACTATTAAGAAACAAACTTCTCTAAATCATTCTTTTTATTTAATATGTATTTGAATTGCTTTGTTTCATTCGTCATATTGATAATTTAATTTAAAAATAATGATGATAAAGCCTGGAATTGCATTTACTAAATGCTTGGGAGCTTGTGATTAAAAGAGTTTCTTTTTAAGAATAATTAAATTATATTTAGATATGTCTAGTCAGTATTTCTAGCCAGTGTGCCTTTTATGTAACTAATAAATAATCTAAATTAGATCCTAATTAATTTGTTAACTAAGACATAACTGGAAAGGTTTGGATATTGCGTGAAACAAATGTTTTTGTAACAATAATTAGCTATCAGTGTACTTGGGAATGATCCTACCCAACTGTTTTTTACTATCTAGAAGATATCTAAATATATAAGTATTAATTCAAATTTTCAATTGAGGAATGAAATATATCAGCTCATTACTGTTAAAATTGATAGTGTTAAATTACTAATAGTAAAGAAATAACAGCATGAGTTTTTATTTATTTTAATATTAAATTCCAATCACATTATAGAAGTTTCATTTATAATTCACTCTAATTGTTACTAGTATATAAATTTTAGAACTTTTTAAAAGTCATATAAATGCCTTAGGATTTTTCTTTTATGTTTATTATAACAATTTATTCCAATATCTAATGTTTGAATAAAAACTTCACCTTCACTAGTTTTATTAGAATTAGTAATAATATGGTTTGAATAAAAAATACATGGAATATTCCTCTTAAATTAGATTAGAGATCTAACTTTTTAGAGATTATATTTATCAGTTAGGGTTTAATTTTGTTCACATTATGATATATGGCAAAATACTCTCATTAATCTCTGTCTCATTTATAAAACACTATTAAGCCAAATTGACTTGTTATTGCTATAATTTAAAAAAATATTTATTTTAAATATTAAAAAAATATTTATAATAAAAAATATTATTATTTTAAATAAGTCAAAAGTAGAATTTTTTTTAAGTTCAATTATTCATTTCTTTAAAGTTAATTGCATGGTTTGCCCGAAAAGTAATGTCTCTGAGTCAATTAAAATGCACGATCTGATTGGTAAAGGGGCATTGAAAAGTCTAAAATTAACTTTCTTCTGAAGCTGTGAATTGCTTTCAGTGCAAGAATAATATTTTTCAAGGGTTAGAACAAGAAGTCTGTGCTTGTTAATGGCCTTTTATGGTGATGGCCTTTTATGGAATTTTCTTCTGCTGCTATAAATTGCTTTCAGCTCAGGAATAATATTTTTCATGGGATTTTTCAAGGGCTAGAACAAAAAGTCTGTGGTTGTTGATGGGCCTTTTATGGAATTTTCTTCTGCTGCTATGAATTGCTTTCAGCACAAGACTGACATTCTTCATGGGATATTTCAAGAGTTAGAACAAGAAGTCTGTGGTTGTTGGTGGGCCTTTTATGGAATTTTCTTCTGCTGCTATGAATTGCTTTCATCGCAAGACTGACATTCTTCATGGGATATTTCAAGAGTTAGAACAAGAAGTCTGTGGTTGTTGGTGGGCCTTTTATGGAATTTTCTTCTGCAGCTATGAATTGCTTTCAGTGCAAGAATAATATTTTTTAAGGGTTAGAACAAGAAGTCTGAGATTTTTGATGTCATTTTATGGTGATCTTCATCCCTGCCCTTTTCATGGGCTTCAGAAAATGCCTTATGCTTTAACAGACTAGGCATTTCGATAAATGATCAAGGCTGTCTGTATAATAGAAAAAGTTCAAACTGCAAACTTGCCACCCTTCAAATTTGATGTATGAAGGTTTCAACTAGAAACAAAAAATGAGTTTCACGAAAGTGCTTATTCTTATTTCCCAAATTGTCAGTGGAGATGACTGGCTCCTTTATCAATTACAACTGGTTTGAGTACTATAATAGGGGTAAGTTTCACAGAAAAATCAATGACATTACTTTTTGGGTGTGCCATATGTGCTTATATTTAGTTTGAAGGTTCTTACATTATTGCCTTAGAAATTTATTTATGTTAAAAATAAATCATGTAGTTTATAGGATGGATCTCTTAACATTTTATGTTAACACACTTGTTTCTGCTTAATGAATGTAGATTTATGTTTTTGAACATTTTATATGTTAACATTTACTTGCTAGGCAAATTTTTAAAATTTTTAAATTTCATGAAAATAGTTTTTAAGTATAATTTAGAAAAATTAAATCAATAATAATTCCAATATGTCATACAAAAAATCAAAACAGTTGAGAAGCATTAATACAGTATTAATACAAAGTTTAGCATTGATAGATACCTGCTGATTGTATTTTGTTATCAATTACTCAGAAGAAGCTTACATAATTGAGTTTAAAAAATGTAAGGAAGATGTTTGTGATATATTTTCAGACTAAGAATTGAAAAGAAAAATTTAAATCTATAGGTTATTAATAATGATCATTTTGAAAAAATGGAGCATGTGCTACTCTCAGTACTTATAAACTATCCTTCGAAATTTTAAAACTAGCAATATCGTAAAATTGAATACGCATTTATGTTATTATGTGTGGAAGAAAAAAAAATTGTTATTCTACTGTATTTAACCCCTCCCTTTCTGTTGCAAGTGAAACTCAGAACATTATGGGTACTAAACTAGAAACGTTTAATTTGGTTATACTAATGATCTTTAGATATTTTGTTAAAATTCACTTTGAAAATAGGGAAAATTTTATGTTGAATTTATAACCCTTCTTTGTTGGAAAAACTTTTTAGAATTTTATATATATTTAGAGTATTTTGCTAAAGATAGTTTATTACTCAAATTATTCAAATGCAAAATAATTTTGACTGTTTTTGGTAATTTTTCTTTGGAAAATTATTCAACGATATTTATTTTACCCTTACTAAATGTAGTCCATTCAAAAGGAGCATTGAAAATTTCAATGCCATAAATTAAATTTACACGTTGTTTATATAATATTACATTATTTGTTTATGTTCCTTACCAGAGTATTGTGATAGCTTTAAAATTAACCTTTATCCAGTGCATTCCATCTTTTGTATGCAATTAAAGATATCTCTTTGTCTATTTAAATTTCAACCAATTGAGAAATATATTATGCAATAAAAATTCTTGTCATAAGTTAGTTGTTATCTATTTATTTTTTGGAATTGATTTTATGTGCGTTAACTTTGTTCTTCGAAGCTCTTTCTCCAAAGAAAAAAAAAACACAGTTTAAATGCTTTACACTTTGTGGCGTAACTACCACTATGAATATTAAATACCAATTCACTAGTATATAAGATATGTTAACTTGATTCTATCACGAGGTACCTTTTGATAGATGAAGGTTGACATGGTCAATAATTAAATCCCCTCAACTTGAAGCCTAGCTGTAATTTTAAACTATATAAACCATCTAACTGTGAAGAATTATCTGGGCTTTAGAACTGACTAATAACTTAAAAATTTTTAACGTTATAGAACTTTTTTTTTAATCGTCAATTTGGCGACATTTTCCCCCTAGATGAAAATTATCAAAATCATTGTTTTATTCTCAGTTTTCGAAAATTTTTATGAGCCCAGATAATGCAGCATTGCAGTAAGTTTTTAAGTATTAAAAATAATTAATACAGTGAAACCTCTCGGGTACGAACGTTTCCCAGTAAAATGGTCGTTGATGTAGGTTGATCGTTCTTCGAGGTTATCTTTATTGACTTCAAAATTGTTATGGAAGGTACATGATTTTTCGCTAACTATTTTAATTTTAGTCAGTTTCATTTTCTTCATGCAGAAATGCCACTCCTGTTGGCGTCTTGAAAAGACCGATCTATGAATAAAATTTAGCGTCTATAAAAATGATTCTAACTGATCCCCCTATGTGTGAAAATAAATTTAGCAATTGTGAATGATAAAGCTATTTTAAATAAATAAACAATTATGTTTTTTTGTTTAAGTTTGCATATAATTTTCTATCATAAAAATTAGCTTTAAAAGATGAGAAGAGGTTTGTTTATTTGGGATGTTTGTTTTTTCTTAAATGACTTTTTTTTTCAATTTAACTTTCAACTGTAAAAGTAAATCATTGATAGCATCGTCTTTGGTGCAATTTGACTGCGACATGAAGCTGTATCGTCAAAAAGAGCTCTCTAAATACGAGCCTCATACAAATATTGTAAATGCATTTTAAGCTACTTATTTGTTTTGTTAAATTTGTTGTCTTGATATTTTTTTGTGTTTCCTTATTTGGTCTTTTCTGCATTTAGTGCAGATGTTTGCCCCGGTCGCTGGGAGAGGTTTTAATGGTTTCTCCTAAAGGTTTTCTTAAACGCAAAGTCTATGGAAAAAATTCAGTGCCTCCCAAAAGTGGTCGTAACTAAAGGTGATCTCTACATAGAGGTGCTCTTTCTTGGAGGTTTCACTATATTAGTATTAAAAATTATTATTAAAAACCACAAACGCTTTTCATTTTAACAAGAGTGCTGCTTTTCTCCAGATTAACATTTTGCACCATTTGCAGAATAAGCATAGAGAGTGTTGCCTGGCTATAAACTAAACTAAACTTGACCTAATAGTCATGACTTAACTGTTACTAACTCACATTAGTTATGAAAATAGCATATTACAGTAGGGAACCGATTATCCGGGACCATCGCTATTCCGGATAACTGATTTTTCCGGTTTTCTGAATCGCTACAAAAAGCCGTTTTTTTTATTGTTAAACCCAACTAAAAAAAAAAAATTTGGAAATAATCTTAAAAAGAAGAAAAAACTATGAGGTAATACACTAATGATTATTTCCAAAATGATGGTAAGGTAAACATCTTTCAAAAAAGAAAGAAAAATCCTAAAATCTTATGAGGAAAAAAAAAATTTTTTTTTAAATGGCAGGAAAATTTATCGAATTTCGTTCCGGTTTTTTGGTTTTCCGGTTTTCTGATTTCCGGATAACGGGTTCTGTACTGTATTCTCAAAAAAGCCTAATTTCATATGATTACGGAGCCCTAAAATAACTCTAAACACCCGTGGAATTTCATTTATTGAATTACAAGTTTTTAAAGTTATTTTTTCTTTTTTTTTAATTGCTCAATAAGGTAAATTTTAAGTTGAGTAAGAGCATTATTTTAAGTGCCGAATTGTATCGAGTACATTTTGTTGAGTTAAACTTTTAAAAACGTGCTATGCATAATTTATTTAGTGAAAATTCACTAATACCAATACAATGTGTAGTATCAAATTAAAAAACAATGTGAAAATTCATAAGTTTATTTAATGAGACAGTGAATTAATTTTTGTTAAAAGTTTTATTCGTAACAAAAAGCATTCATAAAATCTTTCAAACTGCAATAAAAGAAATATATACATGTTTATATACAAAATTACATTATTTACAAATCCATCCTAGAGAAAATATTAACAAAATTTAAATAAATTCTCAAATTTATTTAAATCAGTGAACACATTTTAATTCCTTTAGAAACACAATCTTCATGAAATTGGAATCATGTTAATTTTTCTCCCACGCTGATTTTTTTTTTTTTTTTTTTTTTTTTTTTTTTTTTTTTTTTGAGACTCAAAAATGCATCCATTGCATTTCTAAATTAAATTTGCGAATTTATAAACGTAATTTGCTTTTAGTCGTAATGTTATAATTTTTATTTCATATTACTTTTAGATTTGCGACAGTCAGCTTTGTTCATTTAAGGAATGAAATATAATGGAATAAGTTACAAGTAAAAGTCTAAAACGTGGTTTTTTTAAGGTTGGAATTTTTAAGTATTATTAAAAAGAACAAATGTTTTGGTAAAATTGTTACAATTTTTTCTATCGTATTGCTCATGAAGTAGAAGCGATTCAAACTTCATCCAAGCAGTCATTTGCAATCATTTGTGTTACATAAGCCTTTCCTTCAATGCATAGTTTTAGAATCTTTATCAACAGATGCAGTTAAACGTATTAACCTACAAGCGTTCGTAATTCAACTTCAAACACTTCAGCAATAAGGAAAGCGAGACGATAATTATGAGCAACACCGAATTTTCTTCTCCAATCTAACTGGAATTTAAACCCGACTTACTCCGAAGTGTTTCGTCAGATTTTGATAATTTCTCTTTATTTTTTTTTACAGCTTATCAAGTTGCGATCCCAATTCTAATGATTATTATTAATTTTTTTTTTTTTGGTTTATTTTTGACAAGGATATTTATTTATTAAGGGCGTTTCTGTGACTGAGGAGATTTCTTTTAAATTTTAGGATTTTAGGAGAAGTGTAAATTTATAACATTTTGCACTTCTTCGTAGATGGAGAACTATGAATGTTTTTTTCTGATCTAGAGATGACGGTTGACCTTTGAGCAAAGAGTTCATATTCATTTTTTCCAAAGATGAACACCATTGGGAATTTGAATTATTCCAAAAAAGTAGGAATGTGGAACACATCTATACTTTCACTGTTTCTTCTACAACTTCCTCGTCTTTCTCAACATCATGACTGAAAGAAAAAAACATTAATCGTTAAAAAAAAACATGAAAATTAGCTAATGTTTAAATTATGTTTATGGTGCGGGGTTTCCAAAAATGGCCGACAATTTGAAAAATGAATTATAGGTAATTGGAAGAAGATGAAAATATAAGATTTGCATCATAGAAGGAAATCCGAAGACTGGATGCAAATTTTGTCTTTAGAAGGCTCGATTTGTAAAGCTATAAATCATATTTTGCTGCATATCAGACCATTGCAAATGAAATATTTGGTTGGATGTGTTTTAACCTCGTCACCAGACTGCTACGCACAGTAAATGTAGATAGTGGTTATTTTGAGAAACATAGTATTATTATCTTTAGGTAGCAGCGCCATCTGTTAACGATCTTTATAACTAATTTTTGAAATTAAGCGATAATTTAAACTGACTTCCTAAGCAGAACGCAGCTAACCGTACATTGCTATCTCTTTCCGTTTTTCTATAAAATATTATCTTTTAAATGTAGTTTGTTATGCTGATTTCAAATTTAAAAGCCGTTTTGCGTCAGGCTTTGAAGATGATGGCAAATATTAATTTTCATTCATCAATTTTTAAAAAAAGATTTTGTTATTTCATCGGGGAAAATATAAACAATCAACAATTGATGTTTTTTTAAAATTAATTTATATTCTTTTTTTTCTTTCATATTTTCGTTATTTCTTTGGAAAAATTGCGCACATTTGATGTTTTTTCTAATTTATAATCTTTCTATTTTTAAAGAAATATACAGTACATAAATATAAAGTGAGTCTTTTTCCTTTTATTTACAAACTCAGTGTGTGTGGCTTAAATCGGTAAATTTATCCAATTTTGCTATTCGTTTATTGTTATCAATCTGTTAATGTTATCAAAAAAATTTTGTCCCAAAGTTATCGCATTATGAGGAGAATACTGTATGTAATAAAGTCGTTAGTTGAAATTAAAGAGAGAAAAAAATTACCCGCAGCAAGGCAAGCAAGCTCTAGCTGTTCCAAATTCTTCAGAATCTTGAATAGTTTGTGGTAATCGACGATGAAGAGTTTCTGGAACAAGAGGGGCAACTAATCCAGCTGAGACACATAATGCGCCGATTATTAAGAATGGGATTGCCTTGTTGTAGATTCCCTGGAATACATTATTTTGTACAGAAAGCAATAAAATACACATATTATCAACAGTATTTAGGCTAGAAGAACTAGAATATTTACCCGAGTGTGTATAGCTTTATTCTTTGGAAGAATATTACGTCTCCGTTGGCTGGTGATAATTTAATGTTTAAATAATGATATCTTGATATAACATAATATGTTAAGTTTGTATAAAAAGTTTTCGAGTGCTAAAAAGTTCTCAAAATATAGCGAAACACTCAAAAAGCAAAATTAATATTAAGGGGTGCAAATTTTGAGCTGCTCTCCTGACCATGTTTTCAATATATCGGCTGTCCCTATATTTTTGAGGTCAGAAATCCGAATACAGCGAAAAAAGGGTATGTTAATTTCAGAGAAAATATTTTTTTGTATCTGATCTGTAATTTAAAATATCATATGCACTAATTAATTAGCATATTACAAGTCATCCCCTCAAACCAGCATATAAATTGTCATTTAACAAAAATTTTCACTGTTGTCAAAGTTGAACATGCTTCTTAGCGAATTTAAAATTATAAAAAATGTTATTGATTTAGGTACAGGTCAAAACCTAGAGAGAATAATTTCCTGGGAAAAATAGGGTTTCGGTGAGATTGAAATTTCATTTTGTAAATTAAGAATTTACACTTTTTAAAAACAGAAGCTCAAGAAATAAAGCTCAAAAAAATAAAGCAATCGTTTACCTTTTTTTAAAATTAAGCAGAAAAATTTAAAAAAAGAAATCATGTCAAGCTTTCTTACCAGATAGCAGACATAGGGCATACAAATAACTGCTAAAGACGAGACAACAGATCCAACTCCCATTCCCAGAGCTCTGACAGGAGTCGGATAGAGCTCAGCTGCTTGCTGATAGATGACCATAAAAGCTGCAGCGGATCCAAATTTTCCCAACATCGAGGCAACAATTGCAGACCAGGCCATATCTGAAGAAGGTTAATTTATAATCTTTAGGTTAAGTAAAAGAAAAAATAAGGTATGAAAAACTTTGAGAGTATCTCGATGAAACAGAAAGTAACAGCATTAAACTTATTTAATTAAAATAAACTAGCCACCAGCGCTTGACACCTTTTAAACAAGGTAGAATTTCAAGTATATTGAGGTTAAAAATTATATTGTCGTAAACCAAGCTAATTTATAAAAGTCAACACATATTACACCAGAGACTACTACTGAACTAAACTCAGTGGCGCGACAGCCCATAGAGGGCCAAGGCCTACTGTGCCCTTCTCAGTTTTCTTGACCTTGGGCTCTGGAGTGCAGGAGCAGATGTTTCGGTCAGGTGGTCAGCCGAACGCGGAGCCCCCAGTGTTTAGTTCCCAAGCATGCTTGGCACTCATTTATCGACCCACTGAAGGAATGAAAGGCGGAGTCAACCTTACCCGTAATTTACGTCGTGATGATTTGATTTTTAAATATTCTCTTATGATTTTTAAATATTCTCTTAATTATATATATATATATGGTCATATATATAACTTTAAAAACAGCCAACTTTAAAAATGGTATAGACCATTGATGAAATTGACTGTGATAAAGATATTTACTGTGTTTTATGCAACTTCCAAATATCTTAACGTAACTGACATTCGGAGTTTCCTTATAAACGTTTCAGTTTTATAAGCTAAAGACCCATTTACATTTTTCAAGTCGTTATAAAATTATTACCTCGCAAAGAATTTACGGTAAGAAATTTTAATTTTAGAACACTAAATTGACAACATTTTAACAAAATTGATACATCGAAGAGTAGAGTTTGTATTCACCCTTGGTGAGGAACGATGGAACTAAACAAGCAACTCCTGTGAGGAAAACGAATAGTGTATTGGACCACCTTCGACCTATTTTCTCCATCAACAAATAGGCAAGAGGAAAAGCGGGAAGTTCAACTGCAGCCAGAAGGAAAAAATTTAGGAAGTCGTTCTTTCCCAAATTTGTTGCATTGAGAGTCAAACCAAAGTAAGCCACAGCAATGGCAGTCCTGCAAGAAATGAAATACAATAAAAGTTCGATACAGCGAGCACAGAAAATTATACAATAATTCCGTTACTAAGATAATTTCCACCATAGATAAGTCACCAAAAAATACTAATATTAAAGATACAAAAATTATAAGAAGTTAAAAATTACTAGATATCTACTATTGAGACAATTTTTTTTCTCTTTTTAAGGAAATACATTTTCGTTTAAGTGGGGAATAATGTACGAAAAAGAGTTAAATGGGAGTCATTTCTATTTATTTCTGTTATCAATACAAAAGAAGTTAAAAACTGACATCTTTTCATCTTATTTTCCATTTATACGGCATTGGAGTAAGTCTTTAAGTATTAAAAATGAAGCCCATAAAAGCAATAACAATAATATATGTATTCACCACATATATTATTTCCCTTCCTGATCGCTTCCTAGTTTACTAATAAAAATCAACTTTTAGAGTTATCATTGCTATCAAAAGCTATCATACTTCATTTTTTTTTTTTAAATTCTGCTATTTTAAACATTAAATATGTGTATTTGCTTACAAGCTCACTTTAACCAAAAAATCCTTTTACTTTGTAAATTATTGTTATAACAGACTTTTATTAAAATTGAATTTTTGAAAAAATATTTTAAATTTCTTTTTCAAGCAATTCCCAATGAACAAAATTTGTTCATTGGGAATTGCTTGAAAAAGAAATTTGTTTATTATTAATAAACAAATAATAAATAATAATAAATTTTTTTATTATTATTAATAAACAAAAAATGTACAGTCCATTTCAACAGTTCAACTACTGTTCTTTTTGCTTATAGATTTTCAAAAATCAGTAAAAATAATATGAATTAAAAAAAAAGTTTTTTTCATATTATTCTTGCTCTTATATTTGATTCATAAATATAAATTACCATGAAAAAAAATGGTAACAAAGATTGCATCTACTGTTTAAAATTACAAAAAATGTGCGTCGCGATCTTTCCACAATATATAAAAGTTTTTACACAAATGCATAGCATTCAGATATGAACGCGTTTTATATTTAATATTTGCTTAGATTATTTTTAAACCATGGGTTAAAATAAACTTTTATCCATTAACCCTTTAACTCAGAATTTTTATTTAACATATTTTCATGTTTTTCTTCTTCATTATTTTATATTAATTTAGGTCAAAATGAGGGAAAAATATAGTATTTAGTACTTCAATAAAATACAGCATGAAACACCGGCGTCTTTTTCTGCGTTAAATGTGAAATCTTTTAAACACGGCTCGCTTCCAAACCGTAGTTTTCAAATTTACAGTTATTCAGATTCAAGAGAAGCAGTCATTCATCATCGAAATGTCTTTAATTCACAAAACCAATTATTGATAAATTTTTGAATATGAGTGAAAAAAAAACACAAACTACATTTTTTGGATTTAATATTTTAGAACAAATATAATTCCGATAATCTAACAGATTTTTTTAGTAACTATTAAATTGTTTTTTTATAATTAAAAAATACCAAATCATATATGTTTGCTTGTAGTTAGAGAGTGACGGAAAAATATATATAAAATGGGTACAGGTATCCGATCTGTGTCAAAAGGTTAAGGGTGAACAAATGAAATAACTAAATATTTTTTACACTATGTCCAATCATTATTGAGATAAATAAGAGCAAAGGTGAGATTGAAATAATCGAAAGCAAGCTTCATTGCCTTGTGCTTCTGGAATATGCTCACCTTATGCTACGATTCGGCTAAAAGCTTCATTGGATTTAGTATATTTCAATTATGATAGGTGAAAATTTGAAAACCTATTTTGTACTTTTTTCCTGTGTTTAAAGATGTTTCATTTTTTTAAAATAAACTTATTTTATTTTGAGAAATGTGTATTATAGAGTAGAATGCAGCACATACCAGTTTAGAGTAATAACTAATAACTTTTTTCTTAATTGAGGATACTTCAATAAATCTAGAAGTGATGGGTTTGTAGAATCTGATGTGCTGGTTTTGTTAGAGTCATTAATAGCCTGTAAGTAAATAAAAACTATTAAAAAATACATTAATTAATTTACTTGCGCAATAAATACATCATAACCCCGGAAACAGAATTTACTGAGTGAATCTGCAATACTGTTCAATTTGAGGCTGCTAACAAATCCAAAACCCTAATGCAGTATTGTAAAAATACAGTTTAATCTGACATATGCACCGAAGAGCCATTACATTATGACCACCCTGCTAATAGCCTGTAGGACCACCTTTAGCCCTCAAAACTGCTAGCACCCGCCGTGGCATTGATTCCACAAGGTGCTAATAGGTAGTCTGAGGTATCTGGTACCAAGCGCTCTCCAACTGGTCCTGCAATTCCCTCACATTGTGAGGGAGTAGCGTGGCAGCACGAATTTGGTTTTCCGAGTAGGACCCCAAATGCTCTATTGAAATAAGGTGAGGTGAATTTGGGGGGCCAAGACATGACTTAAAAGTCACTGGAATGTTCAACGAATCAATCCATGAGGATTCGACCCTTATGACATGGTACATTATCCTGTTGGTAAACACCATCCCCCGCAGGAAAAACTGTTGCCATGAATGGGTGAACCTGGTCTGCAACTATGTTCAAGTAGCTTACAGACGTCAGGGATTGTTCTATGAGGATTATGGGTGCCCCTTGAAAACATTGTTCCTGGGCGAGAAACCATGAAAACCTAGGCGAGCCCATTGTTATAGATGGAGGGTGGTCATAATGTAATGGCTCTTCGGTGTATATTGCAAAATTTGGAAATATTAGGGCCTTAAAAACTGAACAGTGCGCGAAAAAAAAAGAGGATCAATTTAATTAATTATAGAGGAAAATATTTTAAATTATTAAATCACAGAGAAAACAACGTACTGTCTCTGTATAAACGTACCTCTTTATTGTTGACTAAATTGGATTTCTCACGCCCAAACTATGGACGGAAGCCGTAATCTGGGAGTATGGCCGCAATAGTTTGGCCAGGAGAGCGGCCCGAAATTTGAACTGCTGAATGTTAATTTTACTTTTTCCGTATTTCGTTATATCGGGAACTTTTTAAGCGAATTGAAAACTTTTTGCACGCAGTTATAAAATTCGATTAAGCAAAGATAATTTTATGCAAAAATTAACTTTCAGTAAATATTTATTTTTCCTTAATTATTTATTTTTCCTTAATTATTTATTTAATAATGGTTCAATAAATTTTGAATTGTAAAAAATAATTTTCTTTTACATTACTTAAAAGAATTTAATTTTACATGGTAAATTTCGAAATTTGAGCGAAATCGGTCGAATAGTTCGTGAAAAATCAAGCTATAAAAAAAATTATTCATTTTTTTCAATAGAATTTCCTGTGAATAAACGAATTTTGTAGTTATGTAATGAAGCTAAAACAATTCCAATTTTTGCTTGGTGGCTTTACGTTATTAGATTAAATAAGGCATGTATAGTCGTACATCCGATCAAATATTCAAGCAAATATTTCCTTTCGAAATCAAAATTATCCTTTTCGATGGGCTGTAAAAAACGTATTTTCACAGTATTTATTTAAGTTTGCATATTATTGGTGCAGTTTTTATAGTTACCAAAAATACTAATATAGAACTTTACATCTATACTATTATTTTTGAAACATAGTAAAACAACAGTAATTGGTATTATTATTACCAAATACCTATTAATAAAACTAATTGTTATTAGTGTCAATAATGGTGTAGCGTCGTTTTTGTTTGATTCTCTTTAACGAATAAGTTCCTTTTTTTCTTAATTTTTGATTTTAAGGAGACTTTTTTCCCAATAAATTTCTTTTTCCAAAATTAATTACAGATCATTGGCGTCAATAATTGTGTGGCGATTTTTTTCACTTTTTTCCAAAACAAATGAGTGCAATTCTCCATTAATTTCTTTTCTTATATAGTCTGTTTCAATTGCTGCGAATTTTTAAGCATTTAATTTTATAGAAACACATTCAAAAAATATAATTATAAAAAAATAAGCACCTCACGCGTTTATTTTTCAGTGTTTATTATACTCAGACAGCTTTAGGAATACTAATTTAGTGACGTAGTCCACGCATGTTACTACTTTTACCTTGATCAGTCAGTTTATCAAACGAAATGGATGAAAAAATAACTAACTATTAAAGAAAGGCAATAACTTTTTTTATTTATTAAATGGAGCTGTAGGGCTATTAAACACCACTGGTGTTATCATTAAATTATTTGAAAAAACGGAAAACGGGTACTTGCAACTCAAGAAGAAGTTCTCCGCTGAAAAAATATGGATGGGCCTAATAACGTGGTTGTGCTTGGCTTGTTAACAGTACGACTATTATAGGTTTGGTTTATTATCCCGCTGAATGAAATTCCAGTTCAGATTTAATGGGATATCAGCAAGTAACATCACGCGCGTGTGTTATGAACCTGATTGGCTGCTGAATCGTGGCATAAATAGATGCCATGATTTAACCTCGCCTGACGTAGCTTGCATGTTTCCAATGCCTCCTATGCATGCCTACTGTTCAATTTAACTTATAGCAATTAAATTCAATATTAAAATACTGTAACTCAAACGTTTCTTCAGAATGATGCAATTGAAATTTTTGAACGATTTCTAGAATCGGTTACTAAAATTACTCCTTCTTTTCCCTGTTTGAATTTTAGAGCGTTAACACAATTGGTTCTGGAGTTATAAGAGAGATACACAGACACACACGCAAAAATTATTTATTTTATTGTTATAAGATTATTTATTTAACATTTTTATAATTAAAGAATATTTTAGGGATTCGCTTTGATTTATTATATTTTATTTAGCAACGAAATGTCTGATAAGATTAATTTTAGCTACTTAGCAATAAATAAAATTCTCGAAATAGAATAAAGTTCACCTTATCTGAGACTTATCAGCAAATCTAATTTTCAGGAAGTGATAACTGTTTGTTGATACTCACTTTTCTTATTTTTTTTATTTTGACTTTTATTTCCCAGGGAGTTAGGAAAAGAAAAAAAAGTTTTAAGCAGTTTGTAAAATAATCATAATTTTTTTTTTTCTTTTTTTTTTGAGACAGAGTCTTGCTGTGTCACCTAGNTTTTTTTTTTTTTTTTTTTTTTTTTAAATACTTGTGAAATGACAAAAAATTCGTTTTCTGATTTCTAACTAAGATTATCTTTGAACTAGTTAATGGAACTGTTTTCAACATTAAGATTGTAACTCTTTTAGGTAATGATAGAGTAGTTAAGAAAATAAATGTTGCGATTAGCTACGTGCAGTGCGCACAATATAAAAATGTACAACTTGACTTCTCAATAATCTTCTTATCTTCATGGTTTGAGAATTTACCACTAATGTTAAGTAAATTAATAAGTTTCAGCGATATCATAATACTATAATTTTGGTTTAGTTCTAAATTAAAATATAATTGTTTATATTTTTATTGAAATGAAAGTATAAATTTTTTTTTAAGCATCCGTAATAAAGCTCAAAAAATAATGTGTATTAAGAATAACAGTCGTTTCGTAAGATAGAGAAGGATCCATTATTGGCGATTTATCTAAAATGGTTTTATCTGAAAGTCGAGCCAGCAAAGCCGCTTGTCTGCTAAAAGGATTCGGTGAAAAATTAATTAAAAACGTAATAATAGCAGAGAATATTAAGAAAGTAAGAAAAATAAATTTTGCAGGTAAATACCTTGAAACAAAAGACAAAGAAATATTTTACAGGAAACAATGCCTTTTTAACTTTTATAATTTTTCTGATAAGAACCAAAAAAATCTGAAAAATCGAAATTCCTTCTTGTAAGAAAACATGAGGACACCAAATGATTTTTCAGGCCAATAATAATGTTCCGACAACAATAGAAAAGTTTTTATACCACAACGTTTTTACGTAAAATAGAGAAATAAGTTATTCTCTAATAAGAATAAAAAGTAAAGAAAAGAATGTATGTTTACTTTTAATCGAGGGAGTAGATCTTTTGGGACTTTGGTGCCATTACAGTGAGCCATCTCTTTTATAATTTCTGCGGCTTCTTCACAACGATTTTGAGTCATAAGGTATCTCGGAGAAGGTTTTAAATAGCTGGAAAGAAAATACGAGTATATTTACTACTACTAGCTTATACTACTATTATACTAGCTATTATAGACTACTAGCTCATAAAGGCATTCTTAAAAAGACAGATAAGTTATGAAACTTTCACGTAACATGATTTAAATGTTTGTAATTGTTTGAATTTATACAAATTACAGAATTTATATAGTATATAGTGACTAATTCATTGTTTAGTCTTTTGACATTTTTATGTAAAAAAATATTTATATAAAGCTTAAAGGTTTCAGTGTAATAGTAAGAAAGATGTCAAATGCAGAATAAAATTTATTTCTGAACCATCAAACCCTTTTTACACACAGATATGGTTTAAAATTAGGAAACCTTCACTCTTGCTTGCTATTTAACATTGCATTGAAAAAGCAACCAGAAACTCCAATTTTACTACTAGGGGTACAATTATTCAAAAGTCTATTCGAATATTGGCTTATGCAGTTGGCATTGATTTAATAGGACGTACCAAATAGGCTTTTACCCAGCTTGAGGCTTCTGCTAAAACATTGGGTTTAACTATTAATCAGGATAAGACCAAATTTATGGCTGTCAGCAATGGAAATTTTGTGTATTTACCTCTCGTGATTAATAACTATTCATTTGAAGGGGTCAGTCTGCTTAAATACCCAGAGACTGATATTACAATTAATAATGATATCAAAATTAAAGTTAATAAAAGGATAACGATGATTAATAGATGCCATTTTGGATTGAGAAACGAACTAAAATCAAAGCATATTTCCATTAAAACAAAAATTAATTTATATAATACTCTAATTAAACCTGCATAACTTTTGGACAGCGAAATCTGGCCTAAATGATGAAAACAAACTACTAATTTGTGAAAGAAAAATACTCAGAGCAATCTTTGGAGCTGTTAAAGAAAAAGATGTTTGGTAGATTCTGTACAATTTTGAAATACCCAGAAAATTTAAGCAAACATAATTTCAGTAGGTATACCAAACACCAGATGGATTACACTTAGAACCACAGGCATGAATAGAATGGAGAAGCCTAGCGTCTGATCGAGCCAGATGGAAACGACTCAGGGTTTTACTAAGCTGTCATGCTGATGGATACAGATAACTGCAAATGTACTGAACTCAAAAAGAATGGACTTAACTTTTGATTTGATGAATGGATTTGTCTTAGTATGCAATCCCAATGACTCCAAGGGTTGACTTTATGATAATTAGTTTACGTTGACGAAGTTTGCCATAAAAACGAACTTTTTTCTGAATAAACATTCATTTTTTCACAGAATTGGATACTCTCTTGATTTTCAAAACGACTTCTTGACTTTGAAAAAAAAAATGGGTAAGGGGTGCAGCCAAAATATAAAAAATATGGTCACAATAGCTTAGGCAAGATTGTCCATAATTTGAACCTCTTAACGCAAATTTTTCTTTTTATGTATTTCTTCAGCTGTTTTTAAAGTTTTCAAGCAAATTTTTTCTGTAAAATCAGTTCATCCAAAGATTCCACTTAAAAAACAATTTTTATAATTGTTTATTTTTCTTTAAAATTTATTTTATTAATAATCGAAAAACAATTTAATTTTGAGGCATTCAAATGTTTACGTCATTTTAGAATGACAATAAAATACAAAATTTGTATTTTGTAGTTTAAAGTTACGTAGTTTAAAATCGTTTGAACAGTACAATATAAAAGTATTTTGATGAATATGAAATTAAGTAATAAAAGACAAATGTAAAATGTTTTTTAGTCTGTTTATCACTCCTCTGATCAGAATGCTTGAATATTAAACTGAGTTATTTATTTCTGTTTATGGGTATTAAGTCTGTTAAAAATAATGCCTTTCGTACCTTTTATAAGCCAAAAAAGCAGCAATTGGAATAGTGGTTACCAAACCCAAAGTTGTCCAGTGTCTTGTCAAATAAGCTATCAAAGCTAGGCAGCATGCCCCCAAAGTCCATAGTATCCAAGATACGCAAACCAAAAAAGATCGTTGATTGGATCCAACTTGTTCAACACCTGAGAAAGAAACAGAAATTTCATTATAAAAAAAAATGATATTGATTAATTACATAGTAATAATTGCATTAATTATAATGCATAATAACATTGTTTAGTAGTAAAATATAAATATAACAAATAAAGAAACACAGACCATATAAAATCGTAAAATAAGTTGGTGATAGAATATTAATTAAAGATTTATCTGGCACCGGTATGATAACGAATATTTCTTTCAAGTAAGTAATTTAAACGAAATAAATGATCCCAGGAATTTGAGTTCACTAAATGATTATCTATGAAGCTAAATGAATCCCCTATTGCCGCATATTGTTGGGACCTTGGGCTTAAATAAAATTTTTTAAATACGAAAAATTTATTCCACTACTGACACATCAGCTCATTTTGAGTCTTGTTTCATTAATATGAATGATGATTCCTTAGTAATAAGTCCCGGATAGTTAGCAGCACCACTTATTCGTGAGGCCACCTTCACAATTTTGATGTAGATCTGAATGGAAAGGAAATTTTCTTCAGATCCTTGTATTCATGTTAGCGACCGATCACAGGACTTCCTATTCCCCAGATCTTACGAGCTCGTGCATTGCATGCACTCGATCAACACCTCCTAGAAAGAACAGGCCTCAGCACGGGTTACCATAAATATCCCTTAGTAGTCCAAACGTAATGACATATTTTGTATTTTCAACCACTGCGCAGCTTTGTACCCCTAACGTAATGACATCTTTCTTATTTTTCGTCAACGGCGCAGTGAACTTCGTCACATCGGACTACTAAATTGATCCGTGCTGAGGCCTTTCTACTTCTAGGAGGTGTTGACTCGATGGGCCTTAGCAGAATCGAGGATCGAACCTCGGTTTCTCCCGGTGCTCGGTTCTCTAACCACTGGGCTACCACGGTTCGCACGCATGCATTCCATATGGAAATGTATCTTAACCTGATTTGACTCTTTTAGCCATTGCAGTCCTGGTTTGCTTCCCTATTATTTTACTGGCGATTTTTTCCATATGCTGTCTTGAGAGTCAGTGCCGTGTTTGAACCCAACGGAACATGTTTTTTCACGCTCATTTATGAAGCAAATAGAATTTCGTTTGATAAGTTTCAGACATTCAGTTTAACTGCATAACGTAGGTAATATTGCCATATCTATCATGCATAATCAACCTAGCGAAAATGTTAAGTGTTAATAAAATAGCAAAATTAAGGCAAAAAAGAAAAAAAAGGAGAAACGTAATAAATGGCCCTACATTCAGTCCTGTGTAAATAATTTAATTGTAATTTTGTCTAATTAGGTATTCATAATCAAATTATGGTTCACCAAAGAGATATGTGTCAAAATGAAATTTTCATATCATACAAAACGTAAGTAATGTCAAATATGCGTCAATCCTAATAATAGTGCTGTGGTAAAATAAATACCCTGTGGTTGTTTTACTTGTTTACTTCAGATTACTTCCATGATTTCGACGGTGGTCATTGATTCCTTATACTAAATGCTCTAAACTTTGTGCTTTTTCTATCGTATTGCTTCTTCTCCGATTGAATGTTTCAAAATCCTGTCTAAAATAATATATACGGTGGTTTCAGTTGCAAAAAAAACTTGCTCTTTTGAGCGGTTTTAGGAGCTCGATGCGATGGTTGATGATTACTACCATCATCTGTGGTATAAGTGAGTGCATGCGCCAATATTATCTTCAGATCATCGTTACGGATGAATCCTAAACCGTCTCCTACAGCTTTTTAGTGTAGCTCAAGCGCGACCTTAACTACCATAAAATATCAACCATAGTATATTTTATTGATAGCATAGGTAACAGATAAAACTGGAAGCAAACCCTCTTTCAAAGACAAGTGGCTGGTTATTTTTAAAAGAAAAAGAAAACAAAGTAAGTCATTTTAAAAGTAAAATGCTAGTCAAAGTAACATTTCCAGCACTTAATAATGCAGAAAAGAGATTACTTACTAATTATATATGGTAATTGGAAATTTGATGGAACGGTAGAGCCTGTGATTGTTCGAAGAATGGCAAATACTGCGAAAGTAGGTGAAAAGATTGATAGTACTCCAGAAACGAAAGCAACAGCAACATTTGCCATGAAAGCATTTTTTCTACCATTCCTGGAGGAGAAATAAAATACATGATTTATGAAATAAATATTATGATCATTGAGGTGAATACTAGTATTGATCAGAGAATAAAACAATTGGGAAAAATTGTTTTTTTTTTCGTTCTTAAAAAGAATAGTGCAACTGGAATTAGTTATTCCGTTTATTTAATTTTCATTTTATTTATTTTACGTTATTTTTAATTTTACGTTGTTATTATAGCATGTCATTACGGCAGAGTGGGTGAGTTACTTCTTGTTTCTCAATGGCGCCATCTATCGCTAAGAATTCGAGTTTTGCGACACACATACGTCTCAACCCGTTTATAGGGTAGACCAAATCATAAATCTACTCATTTGTCCGCAGATCGTAATTTTGGCCTGAAAAAGAGAATAATCAATCTCCAATTCAGCGCACCCAGAGGTATGATTTGTTATGAAAACGTAGAGGACTTTGTGACCCGACAGATCTAGCATGCACGATTTACTACATGGGAAGTTTTCGGCCGGCGGGATCGAATTCATGACATCTTGGACATGGGCCCAACGCCCTACCAACCAGGCTATTCCGGCCATTTTATTTTATTATTTTATTTTATGTTAATTTTATTAATTTTATTATTATTAGTTTTTATTTTATTTTATTTTATTTTATTTTTTTCAAAAATTTTCTCGTATTTTTCTCTATTTATTTTCATTTCTTATTTATTTCATTTTTTTTTCATTTCATTTATTTATCGATTTTTTGTTTTTTTTTTACAAAAGAGCAATTGACATTTTATTACTATTGTACCGACTTCTTGTAGAACCTTTGAAATAAGTTTCAAGTAAAATTTGGGGAAAAGATCACATCTTTTCCGTAAAGTGAAGTTCTAAAGTTATTTTCTGTTTTTCTCGCTCTCTATCTTAACTGTCAAGTTCATCTAATGTTAACAAAACGTTAAATTATGCAATGCAGCTTAGACGAAGACACCGAAAAAAAATTCACGTTTTTTAACACAACAGTGTCACGAAGACCTTGGATGAGGTCAACAAAATCTTCAAGGAACACAATAATTCTTAGTTCCGAAATAGAAATTTTCATTCCTGTTGGCAAGAGAGCAACTAAGTTTATTTTTCTTTCTTTTGGCCCATGTTCGTTATAATTATTTTGTTCACTAGGTAACAATCAAAACATTTTTGCGAACAATTAATGAATTACACTGTAAATTAAAACCGTTTACAAAATGTCTTTGCCTATTAGAATTCATGGGCACTCACCATAATTTGCAAAAAAATGCTAACGCACTTAAGTTAACGGGCATTAACATTTTTTCAGCGGCATTTTAAATTGATGGTCATGTTGTCGCATGAAAAAAAATCGCGATGATAGTCTCTCAAGTGATCGTGAATGATATCTATTCAACCAAAATCATACAAAGACAACGTTTTTAAATGGTATTTAGCAAATAACAGGACACTATTATAAAAAAATAGTAATCAACCATTTAAAAAGGAGCATTCAAAATTGATTTTATCTTACCAGCATGCGTGACTAGCCAATCAACTTCAGATTTTTTCTCCTTCTTTTTGATATAGTAATTACTACATGGAAGTCTTGTCTATTTAGTACCTTAGTATTTACTAACAGTAAGTATTTCTAGTTACTAGTACTTATTTTTAGTTACCTTAAAGGTTACTACTGGTACGTAGTTTTATTATTCCTTAATAGTTTTACTAGTTGGTATTTTTTGACATATTAATAGTTATGTTAGAACGTAGCTTTTATACCTCATAGTGATTTTGATATATCTTAGAAATCTTAATAGTTACATAAACCGAAATCCAAACAAAGGACTAACTACCCAAATCATTATTTTCTATTTTTTCAGCCTTGTAAATAAATATATTCTCAAATAAAACTATTAATACTGAAGGAGTTTTGTCTAGGCTTTTGGTTATAGAAAAACTCGTATTTTAATCTATAAATTTTAAGCTTAAAAAATGAGGAATGAATTTGATTTAGTGAAATGTTTGGTACGAGAGGGCTATTAAGCTGCGGTGCACTAAACTCAGGACAAATTTTGAAGAAAAAAATTAAAATTTTTGATCAGAGTAACAAAATAAAATGACACTGGAAACAATGTCTGATACAAAAACAGAACAGAGAAAACGAAGAAAAAAATATAAAAAATATAACTAAAACACAGCATCTGATTGTCGAGGAAGTTTTATTTACTTGATAATAACCCGGAAGTAAAAATAATGAGGTAATTTAATGTTCAAATAATAGATGCTATTTTTTTTTACAGAAGTCTTATATTATCTCTTTTTTTGCACTATAATGATATTTTTTAATTAAGAATCCAAAAAACAAACTTAAAATTAAATAAAACAATATTTAAGATATGCTTCCGAAATAATCAAACCATATTTTTCAAGATATGTTAAATAAAATAACTAACATGAAAATCTTTTTATATCTTTATGAATATTTGTGCTAGAAATTCAAAATGCCCCTATAGAGTATTAATATAATGATTCAACCTAACAACGATTTGACACGAAAAAATCGGTCAGGCGACAGGCGAAATTTGAACGAGAAATTGAATTGTTTATATAAAAACTAAAATTCAACTCTTAAACCTTTTTGAAATAGATTTTGAACTATGATTAGCGTACTCTTAGTAAAATAGGTTGAACTTTGAATCATTGTACCTTGAACTACAATGCTGTTCAAATTTGCTGCGATCTTAAATGAGATGTTAACATAATATGTACCATGTTTCTGTTTTAGTTGAGCTGGTATCCAACAATCAAGTTTCTGAAGAACGATATTATGGTTCAACTTAACATAGTACATATTTAAGGTAGTAACATCGAATTCGAATCATATTATGGTTCATAATTCTCCAAAACTGTGACAATATGGGACAAGTAAGTAAATTTTCAACTTCAAATCGAGAAACTGTCATCCATGCGAGTTCAAACTCATGCAATGTCTTGTTTATCCTTATTAAAATTGAATTAGTTTTACTAACAAATTATATATATTTTTTTCGAGCGGTTGACACTGAACTCTCGTTCTTTGTCTCGAAAGATGCCGGAAATGTTCCTCATTTAACGTTACCTGGTGGTCAGCCATAAACCTAAGTCATGGAGGCAAGCAACATTATCCCCGCCACATTACCATAAATAGTAATGTTCATACGGGTAAGCCACATTCACACATCACTCAACATAGGACACCTCGAATTTCTCCTTGTAATTTTAAATACCTTGTATTTTTCTTCATAAAACATTATTAAAAAGTGGTCTACGACATTATCTTTTTAGCATTAAAATTTTATGCTAGTTTAAATTTTCAAAATTAAAAAATGGCGCATAAGGATGTTTGCAATGCAGATGATGAATTGGGCAGAATCAGATCTTGCATGCTATAAGTATAAATTTATAAATGCCATTTTAAGGCAATCTCTTATTTATAAATAATATACGTTGTATGCACCTAAATAAATTTTACATTACAGGTAAGTACGCACAGTAGTAAATACAAGGTACATATATGTGTAGTAATCAGCTTTAAAAGAAATTGTAACGAACCCCAAAATATAAAAGCGTTAATTTTCGTTATTTGAAATGTATTTTGTTCCAAAAGAAACAAACTGAATTCCAAGTAGTGTTTAAGTTCATGTTGACAATTAGTTAGAATTTCGAAGAAGGAGCATTGTAACTCTCTGTATCCAAGAATACTGTATTTTAATACGAAGTGTCTGGAAAACATCGTTTTTGAATGAATGCCATCTCGAATGCATTTTAGCGAAGGCCAAATATTTTGGTTATATATTATTCGTTCAATTGCGACGAGCTCTTTCTTGGTGCATTTCAAAGTTTGCTCATTTTTTTGAATATGAGTCGCGGTGGCTCAGGGGCTCAGGTTCAAACCTCATTGATTTCTGGTTGGTATGAATTCTGCTCCCAGATCACACCGACCGCAGTGTTGACGTAAAATATCCTCAGGGGTAGACGGATCATAGGCTAGATTCCTTTTGCCGACGGGCTTATCGTCAAAGATTTTCGTGGTTTTCCTCTCGACGTAACACAAATGCTGGTTAGGTTCCATCAAAATATCCTCTACGAAGTCTGGTTTGTCCCGATGTTAATCCGAAAGTTCTTTGTCTTCTGGGTTGGGCTAAAAATTACAAGGCTGCGAAGTTGAACATTGATAGTTGTAAACTCAGAAGTGGGTCGACTGTTCAACACCAGATATAAAATAAAATGTTTCGAATGTAGGTGAATATATGGATCTATCGTATAACTCTGACAAGATTTTAAAATGTTGCATGACTTTGAGGATATCGTATTAGTATTGGTCTCATGGCAAGAGACCAACCAAGTTGAATCTTGGCAATTATTGGTTGATTTGGGGCTACTTTCAGTCCGTACCAACTATAGAGCTCAAACATAAATTACTTACAGTAATAGGCAGATTATTGCATTAGGCAGCTTATTTGTGCAAATGCCGTCAGGCTAACTGTGGGATTTTTTCTTTCGATAAAGCAGCAATATTCAAATACCGCAATACTTGAACTATGGAGTTACTTTTTTTCAAATTAGGCTCAAAACTATGAAGACGCGGTCTATCGAAAATCAATTTCTCAAATCTATTTCCTAAATAGAAATATTGTAATAGAAAACATTAGATGACACTTCCGATGCTTCACTTTACGGTAAAAGTGTCAGTTTCGTAGCACTAACATTTTGATGTAATTGACTGTTCTCTGTAGAAAAGAAGGAATCAGATGATGGACGAGCACTAATTTATTCACTTGTAAACAGGAGCACAAAAACACATAGAAGAGACTGATAATAGCTTCACAAAACATAGATTTTAAATGAGTATAACAGGACAAACAGGAGAAACAGCTCTAGTGCAGCATAAGGAATTCTAAATGTCAAAACTTAAATACACAGACAAATATTTTTTGTTCACAATCTGCCTCTCTCAATAAGAATAGTACTGAAACAAAAGTACTGAGCACCGACCATGTTACAGAAGGATTTTCGACTGTCTCTTTACATACCCTCGAGAATGCAAGCAGCTCTTCCTGGAAACACCCCTATTATACAATAATTGGTGCACTCACTGAATAAACATGAAGGAGCATATATTTCACAACTGTCGTTAAACCCAATTTTGGATTCAAGACTACTAATGTTCAACTCCGTAGCCTTGTAATGTTGAACCCAATATAGAAGAAAAGGGAACTCCTGGATGAATTATTGGGCGAAATTTGTCTTCTTGCATTACATTTCGATGGAACTAGCCCGTGTTTGCGTTATGATGAGAGAAAAATCACGAAAACCTCCCATGGCTAGCCTGACGGCAAAGGGACTCTAATCCATGATCCGTCCACCACTAAGGATATTTTACATCAGCAACATGGTCCGTGTGAGCCGGGTGTAAAATTCGTATCGACAAACCATCGTTGGGATTCGAACTCGGTTCACCTCATTGGTCATTCATCGGAATATCGTGCAAAACTTTCCTCTGGAAATATGTTGTTTTACAATATGGTGTACCATATACAACTGCATTCTTACGGAGCTTCTGAAGAAGTTTAAATAAGAATTCCTAATTCTCTAATTTTAATAAGAACTCCTTATCTGTCTCCATATAATTTGCGAATCTTGTATTTTGTTCAAAAAAGCCCTACGGTCTCAAGAGAGAAATAAATTCATGGATTGCAAGGATAACTGGTTTTAACAACGACAAAAAGAGCATGGCGATTAGTGCTACAATGGAATATATACCGAAACTGTAGTGGATGCCTCGTTTTTAATGACAGTGTAACAAATTGTGGTTTATGAAGGTTTCAAAATTGTCTAGAATAATAGGATAATTTTTGCAAATTTTGAAGCCAAATCCATTCAAATAAAGAAATGACTGTTTTCACATAATTGTTATTGTTGTTCATTTACGTCGCACTACAGCTGCACAATGGGCTATGGGCGACGGTCTGGGAAACATCCCTGAGGATGATCTGAAGACATGCCATCACAATTTTGATCCTCTGCAGAGGGGATGGCACCCCCGCTTCGGTAACCCAACGACCTGCACGCGAAGTCGAGCACTTTACGGTAGAACAGTTTAACGAGGAGCAATACCGCGCACCCTCGGTCCCAACGCAGACTGATCCAAGTGGTTGCCCACTCGCACTCTGACCGCAGCCAGTGATGCTTGACTTCGGCGACCTGCTGGGAGCCGTGTTTTAACGATCAGTTCACTGCGGGACATTTTCACAAAGAATAAAAGCTATAAAATGTAAATTCGTTCACCGCAAAATTTATGAAATACATAAACATGACCTTAAAGCTTAACTTAGCATGTAATTAAATAAAATATTATTTAAAAAAATTGTAAAAAATTGTGATAAAATAAAATGTGTTATAGATCGTGTCTTGTCAAACAGTTCAATTAGTAAAATGCTAATCCTTAAAGTATTTTTTTTTTTTTCACATTCAATTGGAAGAATTTCTGAACTTACCGATCAGCCAGCGCAGAGAAGATGAATGTTCCAAATACACTCCCGGCATTTGCTAAAGTTAAGACAAGACTTGGCAAATAGTTATCCTCACATACAAGATTCCACTGTAAGAGTACTTTAAGTTACCCATTGTTTAATTTATATGACATTCTCAACATATTATGAATTTAGAAAGAGATAATTTCACGAAATTCATTCCAGTCAGAAAACCATTTGAAACACAAAACGAAATCTTGTTAATGGCTTAAGAAATTATGATAATATCAACAGGATATCAAGGATTTTATTTTATTTTAAAACCGTCGTTAAATAGTCGACTCGAACTTTGATTTTACGGCAACCAATGTTCAACTCCGTAGCCTTTTAATTTTGAATTAAATCCAGAAGACAAGGAAACTCCTGGATCAAATATTGGGAGAAATTTATCTTCGAGGAGGACTTCTTGGTGAAAAAAATCCACATTTGCGTTAAATGGAGAAGAAAACAACGAAAGCCTCCTACAGTTAGACTGATGGCGAGGGGGGATATGAAAGACTTAGCATCTTTTGGTATGAAAGGGCACTCGTGGAAAAGTGTGGGTTCAATGCAGTATGTACTAAATGTAGACTCACTTTTGTGCCTAGACTAAAAAAGACAGTTATGTTTGTGAGATCTGTAAGTTATTTTTTTCTGTAACAAATAAATTTTCTACCATTTTATATTGTTTTATCCTGTTTTAAAATACTTTAAATTATTTTTTGTGAATTTCTTTTTGGAAGTTCCAATCATATCGCAAATGTTAATCACGTTTGAAACAGTATTATAAATATAAGTTACATAATTTTTTTAAAAGTAAGTATGGATGTAAACTACTTAGAAAGACATGATTGGCTTTCGTTGATGATAGAGCATGATGATGGAACAGTTTAATAAAATTTTGTATTATTGATTTGAGCCGAGAAGACAGATTTTGCCAGCTAGATATGGGAAAAGACTGCTAGTTGGTAACACTGGGCTGGCTCCTTCGTTAGACAGCCTCCATTATTTTGTAGATAGTTGCAGCAGACTTTCTTTGCTAACTGCTTAGCATATTTTATGAAGTTCAAAAATCAACATCTTGACTATGAGATTATTTACATTGGCAGCATTTACGGACATATTAATTACCGAATACTAATCATCTTTAACGAGACATTTTAGTTGTTATAAATGAGCTGGTTACCCAACAATAGAAACATTATGATTATTATAGAAAAGCATATAGTGAAATCATATGAGGAGTAATTAAATGTAAATTGGATAATAATCAAATTTATTCTTTTTAGATTGATGTGCACACACGTCAAAAATCTCGAAGCATTTAAAAAATAAATAGCTAACTGCTTATTCATAGAAACTCCTTGGTTCAAAGAAGGTGAACGGTTTCCATCATTGAAACGATGACACTTATTTTACTATTTTTCAAATATTTACTTAACATCTTATAATAATAGCATAATTGCCTAAGTATGTGTAGTACGGAAGATTATAGTTACATTTACAAATAAAAAACTATAATATTGCCAAATTTAAAGCCATAATCAATAGCCGAAAATGAATGACTGAACGAGCCCTCCGATTGCGCATTCGGTGAAAGTGACGCACAAACCGCTGGTGGAGAACTGAGGATCGTGAGTTCGATCCTGGCGGTTGATTAAACAACCGGTATGTATACGCATCAAAGTGCACGTTTAATTTGTTGTGGGTGAATGTTTTCTCGTTGGTCATGGTTTGGAAGTTTGGAAAAGGGTATCAGCTCAGCCACTGTCTACATCGTCTGACCGGGGTCAAAACTACATGGCATTTCTAAATAGCTGTTAAATGATAATGTTTGGCCATGGTTGAGTGCTGTGTGAGTGGCCCTACGACAGCAATTTTTCCATTCTCCCATTAGTCAGTTTTCTGTTATGCATTCTATTAAAAGTTTTATTAAGAAATTGATTATCTAAAGTAACAGATAAGTTAATTTGACATATATATGGTGTTATATTAAATGCACTATTTGAAGAAAAAAAACTAACTCGTGTGTGAACATAACATGTTTAGAGATTTGTACGTTATTGAATTAAATAATTTTGAGTTTGTTATTTCTTTGTTAGCTAGCGTAAGCAAACAGTGAAATATTTTTAAATAATTTAATTTTATGAAAAAATTAAGTATCTTTTGATTTAGTAATTTTTTTAGCTTTTGAAAGAACAACTAGATTAACGTTGTAAAATCATTAAAATTAAGCAATTATTTTTCACTTCTTGAATCTAATTAATTGTAAAAAGTAAAATTGTTTCTGATTGTATTTCAACTAGCGCTGCATTTATTTGCCCTTTTAATAACTTAATGCATTCTAATTTTAATGACACAAAATAAACAAAATAAATGCAAAATGCAAATGTATATGAAGTTTATTTTGTAATACGTTTGTAAAATATTAAGCAAATATTGGAAATAAAAATTTTTTTGCAAAGAAAAGAAGAGAATTTATCATATATAAAGAAAATTTATCATATGGAGCATATGAATAAACGAACTATAATGTGCATATTTCAGTTACTTGGGGAGAAACACATAGATTTAATACAAAAAGATTTATACTTGTTTTGTTATTATATTTTAAATCATAAATAGCTTTAAAACACAATGAATGCATCAGTTTATTGGGTCACAAAACTTGCTGTACTTAAGCGCAAATGCTGTTTACTGCAAATAAAAATAGGCATGTCATTGTATCAAGTTTTTTCTTAGTTTCAATATGAATACAATAATGTTTTAATCTTCCTTAAAATTATATTTCAATTTTATTCAAAAAAAATCTTAACTCACACACTTTATAATACATTTACACAATATCGCTTAATCAATAGTAAGCAGGTTTTGCATCTAATTATAATAATCTTCTAGTTTAAAATTATTTTTAATAATATTTTTGTTAAAATTTATTTAAATGTAAGAATTTCTTGAAAGTCAAATACATGGTGTTTTGTAATCATCACTCTTAATATACATTTTTAGAATCTTTGTTAAAAATAAAGTAAAAAAGTATACACATTTGCGGCCACAAACTACTTAGCTAGAAAAAAATAAAAATTTTATCGAAAACTGACGAATCACTGCTGAGGAAGTTAAAATTAAATGCAACAAAAACTGTTTGTTTAACAGAAGTTGAAAGACGATAATGGATTCTACTGGCAAATCAAACAGGTTTTGACGTTTTTACACGGGCGTTTCTTAGAAGTGATACGTCAAATTTCAATAACGTTTTTACTTTTTTCTCGCTAAAATATTAATTTGCTTCTCTTAATCTGAGTACTTCCTTTTTTGCAAAAACTTTTAAAATGTTAATTAAAGGAGGTAATCATGGAATATCCTGCTAATAATTTAAAAAAAAGGCAAAATCTTACTTTTGACACTATAGTTTCTTCATACCAATCTTTTTGATACATCCAACCGTTGTCACATTTTTTCACCGGTCTCCTTGTTATAAATTTTCCTTCGTTTTTAATCTCGGGGAGCTTTCCAGTTGTCATGTATTCTAATGCAAAGGCAGTAAAATTATAATCGTATCTTGTACATTTTGAAAAAGTTCCACCTGGTTGCATCGGAATTGAAATTCTCTTTATATCTAATTCGGAAATATTCAAAGACTGCAGTTCAGGAACAAGACACCAATGGTCAGGAGTAGCCACCATAAAAATAACATTCAGTACATAAAAAGCCGAAGCAAAAGTCGTTGGAATCATAAAGTTGATCAACAATGACTTTTGATATTTTCCAAAATCACCAACCTCTTTTAAAATTCCTTCGAAATCCATGTTTCAATAATTATTAAAAGATAACTAAGTATTAATAGTTAGGATTAAACTAAATTAAAATTTCGAAGAATGTCGATAAGAGGTTAATTGATTAGAAAAAATTGTAGAAATAGGAAAAATTGTATTCCGAATTTTGGAGAAGTTGGTAAACATTAGAAATAAGAAGATAGAATACAGTTGAAATAAGTTTTTCACTAGCTTAAAACTATATTTTTTGTCATCGTTAAAACGGTGCATCTTTTTTATTATAACTAAGTTGAACTGCGCGCCGCTCAACGGAGAATCTTTTTTGACGTCATTGATAGAATTGTTTTCTTTCTTTCTTTTTCTTTTCTACTTCTTAACTTCTTTTTTCAAGAGTTCGAGAAGATGCGAGTCGATGGCTTTGGCGCAGACCTTGGAAGACCTTTGAACACATGAGTTTAGGAACTAAAAACATCGAGTATTTTGATATTTTTTTTCAAAAGAAAAAATGAAAGAGAACAAAAATTTAGTGTTAAGAAGATGTTTTCATTTATTTGCAACCTTTAGAAAAAATAGGTATACTTTCATTCAAAAATAAAGAGGGTTTTAAAATCTGCTGACTTTTTGAGATCAAAAATTTTAATTATTAACTGGGCTCTTCAGTATTGAAATAGCTGTTTCGAGTTAACTGCGATTATGAAATCCTAAATGATCACTCTTTTAGCGGTAACTCGACTTCATAAATAAAATTCATTAACTATTGTGAATTTATTAACAAAACAACTAACTAATTCGAATTCCTAACTACTTCCTATTTAAAAACGTTTAAATTAAAAAGGAATTTTTTCCCCATCGTTTTATCAATAATGGTTTTAAAATCAGATTTTATCTAAGACAATTGGGTACTTGCATTTCAAGAAGAAGAAGATCACGGATACCCACGGATACACATATGACCTATGACGTCAGTGCCAACTGATCGCTTATAAGCAAAATAGCGTGTTTAAGTTGAACTTAGTTTCTCTACATAATTTAGAATGGTAATTAACGTGGAGTTAATTAAATACAGCGTCGTATTGCACGTCGAATTTGTTTAAATATAATTCTTTCTCGTCTACGTATTTTACTTTGCTAAGATTTATTGCTTATGTATTTTATTGTTACCGTGATATATTTTTGTTTGGTGTACTTGGCAACTTCGGTGCATAATTAATTTGTTTATGTTCAATATGGAATCCTACCTGTCTTTGTGTTGAGTAAGAAATATATAGCGAAAGAATTGAAATCTTTGAGAAAAAATCTCTGTGTAAGATTATAGAATGGGTCGCTTAAGAGAATTGATACTTGACTGGCTTGGCTTACTTGAAATAGAATGGAAAGAACAGTTGCTAACGTAAACAAATACCGCATTTCAACAACCAATCAGGATCGAGACACCGACATTACGACAATTGTAGGTATCCTATTGAGTTTGTGGAACTTGAACGGCGCCTGATCTAGTTCTGAATAAGTTTAAGCAGATGAATATATAAGCTGATAATAATCTAAGCATATGCCTCTAAACTGAATGTGAATAAAAATTAACAGGATTATAGTTTTTATTGAAAGGAAAAGTGAAAAAAAATGTCATAAGCGTTGATAATTGTTATCAGGAAAACAAACTTCTTTATTAATGAAGTTAGCTATTTAGAATTGAGAAATTCGATGGAAAATATTAATGCAATTTTTTATTAAAGGGTATATTTTTCATAATTTATTCAATGTGTTGTTATTAGGATAATTATGTATATTTTTAAATTAGTAATAGATAATTGATTAGATATAACTATATTTACTGGTTTGAAAAATCACAGCTGATTAAAATGTGTCCTAAGTATCGGTATCCCTATGATCATTACATAGAACCCTCGGCTTCTTACATTTTTTGGGAACTGTTGATTTATGGAACCCAAAAATGAAAAGAAGAAAATTTTTTATAATTAATTAAAAATTATTTTGACAATTTAAAAGTAGAACTTCTAATTTTTCGTTAAATATCCTTTATGAATTGGGAACATAATTTTTTTTAAAAGTTTGTCATAAAATAATACGTAGACTTAAATGAAAAGAATTCAAAATAATTTAAAGATCAATAATATAATTAAGTAAAATAATGCATTCTCGGTACAGTCAGTTGTGGGCAAGAGGATCATGGAGGTTAAGGCTCCAGGATTACGTGACCAATTGCATGATTGTGAAAATGTTGCCACAAGCCACCTGTATTTCTCCTTCGTCTTTACTGTAACACAAACGTCAAATGATGATTAGAGCTTTTTTAAAAAACTAAAAAGAAACTAAGCACAAACTTTAATAACTATGCAAAAATTATTTAAATCGAATGCCATGTTAGAATAACGTCTCTAAAAGAGCGAATAAACTTAAATAACATTTAGTAGCTTGATTTTGTAATTTTCTCTAAGCAACATTTTTTTTATGCTATTTGATGACTTTTTCGAAGTCAACAAAAAAATATACCGTCATGTGGGGCTACTTTGTGCAGCGGGAGCTACTTTGTGCAAATTCGAATTTGGCACTTTTCAAGTGCTGCTGTTCAGTATTATGCTTTTTTCACGTTAAAAATGTGTGGAATTTGAAGATAGAAGTCTCTTCTATTACTACAAACATTTTTACGAATTTTAAAACAATCTTAGAGTGTGTTTTGTTTATCCAATGTCATCAAATTTCCGAGAACGTCAGGCGTCGAAAAGTGTGCGTGGAAACTTTAGCTGTGAAATGCAAAGACGTTGATAAAACAATTGTCGTAAGTGCAAATTTTTTTATTTATATATTATTAAACAATTATATCATGTTAGCGCTAAAAATGTTTGAAAATTAATACCAAATAAACGGAAAATGAAAAAATTCCATTGTGGGGCTACTTTGTACAAAGTTTCATTCGTTTTTTTCTTCGACAGAAAAATGGTCAGACGTTATAAAAAAAATACCTGGAACGAGAAACTACCGTGATTACACTTCAGAAAAGCTGCAACAATGTTTGCAAGCAGTTGCTGGTGGTATGTCGATTGAAGAAGCTTCTCGGAAGTACAAAATCCACAGAAATACTATCTCTAATAAAATTCACAAGAAGCACGTGAAACGTGCTGGTAAACTATTATTTTTCTACTACAAAGATTTTTCAATGAATTAATCAAACGATTTAACACATAAAAATATATTTGATAGGACATCAGGTGATTTTGACAGAAACTGAAGAGCAAATTCTGTCATGTTCATTCTAGCATGTTATGTTCAAATTTATCAATATTATAAATATGTAATAATTATTGTTTTTGAAATTTCATCTATTTCAATGTTCAAAAATGCATATGGTTTCCTTTTGCTTAAACTCAAATGTTTTGAAATAAGCATTCTTTTTAAGAAAAAATTCTTTATAAAAAATGGTTTTTTAACGCTGAAAATTATTTTCAAACTAATATCTTTACATATCTTGATGTTTTTGTTATTAGAAATGTCAACAATTAACTTTTTTAACAATTTTATACCAATATTTTACTAAAAACATGATTATTAAACTGAATTCCTATCGCTGCACAAAGTAGCCTCACTTGGGGGTTACTTTGTGCAAGGTATATTTTGACTTATTATTTGAAAATATTACATACAAATAATGCCAGTATTGATCAAATTCATTCGTCTGAGTCCAGTTATGAATATAATATCGATAAATTTTACTAAAGTTTGAATTAACATAGTTTTTTTACATGTCAAAGTTCAAAAACTGCGAAATCCTGCACAAAGTAGACCCACATGACGATAGTTTTAAGCAAGTGAAAAACTTTTTCAAAATTTTTGCAAAATTTGTTCTCCACTGCCTAAATTTTAAAAATCTGATTCTTGCCTGTAAATTCACAAATAATAATATTAATTTGTTAGAATTTACCATTCGGACCCTTCTTACCATGAACATTTCGCACGTTAAAATCAGACGATGAGTTCAAAAGTTATGTACAAAAACTGCTTTTTCTGTATATTTTGAATTAAAAAAAGTAAATGAATGATGAATTGAATTGCTATTGAATGTTGGTTAAAATATTATTATAATCTGATGTTGTAGAAGAATGCTGACGTGTTTAGGTTAAATTTTTCAAAAATTATTTTAATGTTTTTTGAATTATTTACATAATTGTTTTCGAAAAATTAATAAAAATTCAATTAATAAGTAATTTCTATTTCAAAATTAATTAGTAGAATGTGTTGACTAAATCAACACTTACCTAATGAAATTCATCTTATCCTTTTTGTATACAATTTATAACTTTATAAATATTAAGTTTATAAACATACATCATTAAATTTTTCTGTTTTTTAAAAGAATTATAATTGAAATTATACAAAACATTCAATTATTTTTTAATCAACATTTTAATTAAAATTCCTTATCAACAGCAGCTCTGTTAACATCTGATAAGTATAAGGTTGTTGAATACTTCAAGGTTGCATTGTATACATTCCAGCATTCCAAAATGATCGAATATTCTTAAGCTGTTTATGACATATATGTTTCTGAAGTTCTTTTACGGTAAAGAAAATGTACTTGAACTAATTAAAAACAATATAGTTTTTGAAAATTCTTTTTAGATTCATAATGTAATGCAGCTTAAAGTATTCAGTTTTATTAATTCATATGTGATTTTTAAAGTATAAATCTTAGATGAATAATGAATTTGACTTTTATGATGTTTGTGTAGAATATAGAAAAATTAATATTGTATGAATATTAAAAAATAGGTTATTAAAGATAATTATTATTATTATTTTGTTAAATAGGTCAAACTGCACGTGAAAGCATAAGGGAAAAGGTTGATTTCTTAAATAAATCAAGAAATACTTCAGTAGGTATCCTTCCGGGGGAAAAACGTTCTACGACTGTTCTTTAATAAGAAATGTCACACGTGTGTGTAGAGCCTGTTTGACTTTTGAATCAGCAAATGCCACGATTTACCTACGGTGGCGTCAAGTGCAAGTATCCAATTGTTGTGAGTTCGTAACAGTTATTCTCATGACTGCTAGTGTTCTTCTCTAGTCAGCGCCCTCTATGTTGATTATGAGAGTGAAATAAAACGTAAAATATGAAGAAAAGTCCCAGATTTTAGAAAATGCAAAATATTTTTGAATGGAAAAAGTTTGTTTTCAAATTTTAAAAGCTTTTTTACCACTGCATTGTTTTGACTCAATGCGAAAATGATTTTCGTCTAAGTACCGATTTTTTTTAATTCAAATCTTTAAAGATTTAT